CTTTTAGGAAAGGGAGCAGATGTGCGCTGGAAGCCAGAGGGATTTCCCACCCAAACCATCCTATGAGTCGGTGATTTCAAACAGACAAATATCCTGCTAAATTCACACCCTACAAAGTAAATAGTTTGTCTATTGTAGCAAAAGGCAAAAGAAGTCAAAAAAATTCAGATGTCTTCACCTTTCTGCTGTTTTCACTTTTATGTGCCAATATCTGGCGCTGGATGAGAATTATGAGCTGATGGTACTTGCTGGGTAGCAGGACGGCCTGTTGGCAGAGCTCGGTCTGTCTGCGTGGTGACAGCAGACATCGTGGTGTGCCCTAAGCACCGCCGTGTCAGCAGGATCGTGGCATTCCTCCCACCAGTGCTTTGGCCGTGCTGGATAAGCCAATGGCATGGTATGGTGTCAGAATGACACACTGGCAAATTACCCTTCTGTTGCATCTCCTGGAGCTGTGGCTCATCAGTGTGTTCCTCTGCCCTGCGACTTCAGGCAGAGTTCTTCGTACTGCCTGAGCTGGAACTCTACAAAGGGAAGACACAAGGCAGCATCAGAGTTGGACTCGGTGATCACAGAATCACAGGATGGCCTGGGTTGCAAAGGACCACAGCACTCATCCAGTTCCAACCCCCTGCTGTGTGCAGGTCACCAACCAGCAGCCCAGGCTGCCCAGAGCCACATCCAGCCTGGCCTTGAATGCCTGCAGGGATGGGGCATCCACAGCCTCCTTGGGCAACCTTGATCCTTATGGGTCCCTTTCATCTCAGGTTATTCCAAGATTGATCAATATTTTAGGGTTTGCAAATCTTGAAGGAACCTGAGACCTTGCAAAATGTCATCAGATCCTGCAGAATGGAATTTCTTATTTAATTTGGCCTTTAGCACAATTAAACTTCTGTTGCAGCTTGGTTTCTCAGAAGAAATACTTTTGTGTCGATTACACTTAAAGTAAGAAGACAACAGCGTAAAGGAGCCCCTATTCCACAGATTGCAGCAGTAATTGGCTGCAGATGCACCTTCTCCAGTATTCTTGCAGCTGGGACGTGGGGCTGTGCTGGGTCCAATCTCAGTTTATCTAACAAATTGGGTTTCACGAGTTTGGCTGACACATGTTCCACTTTGTCTCCTCGACTTTAATCTAAGAGAACTGTTAAAACTTCACCTGGCAAGCTCCTCTCCCAGCCAAACCAACAGCAGGAAGTCCTGAAACCTTGTGAATGAACCAGCTGGCCTAAACCCTGGGGCCAAGTGTGCAGAGTTATTAGTTTTGGAGCTCTCTGGGCTCTGTATGCTTGGGTTTAACTGCTCTAAGGCACAACTCTCCAGTACCTGTGGGATTTTTTGGCGCTGCCATGCAGTCACGTCTCCGTCTTCACCACCCGTCCTCAAGGTGACATCTCCAGCCTCAGCTCTCACTCCTCTTTGGGACGAGAAGAATCCCCGAACGCACCGAAGTTCCTTTTGCTCAGATCCTGGCCCCATCTTCCAGAATCTTCAGCCGATGAAGAATCCCTTTGGTGGTGCAGAAACGATGCGGAGCAGCTCACGGAGTATTTTCACAGCAGTGCTTTGCTCGGTTCACTGCTTCCCCAGGTGTCGCTTTGCATTCTGTAATTATTTCTGCAGCTTCCCTCCAGCAGTGCTCTCAGGATTTAACGGCATCAGGAGGTGCAATCTTTGCTCCACATATTTTTCCAATTAAGAAAGCCCAAAGTGAAGAGAGAACTCACTTTGCTTAACTTCTTTTTAAATCTAAAGGAAACAAGCTTAGCTCCTCAAGCCTTGTCCTGTGGGAGCCAGAGTATTTCTGCACATTCTGTCCTTGCCTTATACCTGCTCTTGGCTGCTAAGTCCTTAAAGGGCTGTGAACTTTCTGAGAGTTTTCAGGTCCAAGGACCCAGGGGTGTTTGGAACCAATTTTGGTTGCTTTTTCCCTTGCAGGGAGCCTCCAACTATCTTTATTTCATCTGCTGAATCTTCTTCAGCTTTCCCATGTCTTTTTCTGAGACCAGTGGGTAGAAACATACAGTTCGAAACGTTTGTGTTCTGGGATGTACAGAATGCTGCCTTCTCTTTTATTTTCTAATAATTTCACATTTGTTGCTCATTCCTTTCCATCACATTTTGCAGCTGTCTTTGCTTTTTGACCTGTCAGTGAGCACGGAACTTGAGAACCACAGCGATGTGGCACTGAGGGAGGTGGTCGTTGGGCATGGTGGGATGGGTTGGGGTTGGACTGGATGATCTTAGGGATCTTTTCCAGACTGAATTGCTTCCAGGATTCTGTCCCCATCCGGCCCACTCCACTTTGGGGCCCGCAGCTGAGTTCAAGCAGCCAGGCCTTGCTCAGCTTTTGGAGCTCTCCTTTTGTTCTTGAGAAGCTGTTGTGGTTACAGCTGTCAGTCTGCAGCCGTTGTAGCACCAAGGGCTTGTGTGCACAGATTGCTGTAGTCTTTCCTTATGGCATCAGCTCATGGGTTGAGTCCTCCTCCCAGGGCTGGATTTTAGCTTGCTCTGCCATCACTGGTTCTGAAAGATTTATTATCTTAGTTACAAGACAGCATGAAAATGAAAATGTGGATTGAATGTGAGAGTAGAGCAGAGGAGCCTGTATTTGAGTTAATTTTCTGCTTCAAGCAGAACCTTTAGTTTCTGCAGTGATGGGCTTTAGAGAGGATGTGGTTTGTGTTCCTGCTATTCAAATGTCTCAAAGCCAGTAAGTCAGCCTGTTGCTGAGCATGGGTTTCAGATGTTAAGCTGCATTTGTGTTTGCTTCTTGCTGAGCAGTGTTGGCGGCCGTGAGCATGGTGCTTCCCCATGGGACTCTCACCTGGACATGAAGATGCTTAACTGGGTTTGTGTGTTTCAGTCGTGGTCCTTGCATGCAGAATGTCCCTCATTTCTTCCATGTCTGCCACCATTTTCTCTGCTTTACCAAATCCTGTCACATTCTGTAATAAATCCTTTTGATGATGTGTGATCAACACTACGGCATGCAAGTGAGACAGCCAGTGTGAATACACAGTAAGAATGTTAGGTTCTAGGTTAGGTTCATCTATCCACCCTCACGTACTGCATCACCTCTCTGGCCATTGCCATGGACCCATCAGACATCAAATACCTTCTTCCTGAACTGATGAAATTCATTTAGATCACTACAGGTTCCATTTGTAGCTTCTAGTCCATCCCTAAGCATTAAAACTTCTTGCTTAGTATGTCATCTTGCAGAATTTTTGTTGATTTCTTGCCTGATTACCATTGAATTCTTTCCTTCTGTCCTTTCCAGCACCAGAGCAATGCCTGTTCTCTGGTTTTGAAACAAGTGTGCCAGGGGAGATTCAGGTTGAATATTAGGAACAATTTGCTCTCAGAAAGAGCAGTGCTGCAGTGGCACAGCTGCCCAGGGAGGTGGTGGGGTCACCAAACCTGGAGGTGTTCCAGAACCATAGGGATGTGGCACTGTGGGCAGTGGGCACGGTGGGCTGGGTTGGGCTTGGGGATCTGAGAGGTCTTTTCCAACCTGAACAATTCTATGATAATTGCCTGATGATTTTCAGAACCCTTCCTCATGGAGCACGTTGGAAATCTCTGGAAATCTCTGGGAACTTCCCTTCTCTGGTGGCACTGAGCAGAGTCACTGCAGCAAGCGTTCATGAAGAGTGCTGTTATCTCTTGAGTCCTTTCTGCTCTGAAAGGATTAGCTCTGCATCTAATCTGCAGTTAATTGCTGCAGGAAGCAATAGTTCAAACAGTCAACGTGCAGGGCTGGTCATTCTTTATAGTAGGGATCATCCTTCTCCCTGGGCTCGAACACTCTTCTGCACTTTGTTTTTTTCCTTGGTCGTACAGCCTGGTACTATTATCTGTGCTAATTCTTGTGCAAATATATACACAGACCCTGAATTTGCTAACTTTCTCTTTTTTCAGCCTGCTGCTTCCATATCCAGTCAGTCTCCCAGCTTTAGAGTGCATTGCATATGAAGCAGCCTGATCTTCTCACCTGCTTCTCACTGATCCTCTCACCTACACGTACTTGGTGTCTGTTCTGTTACAGCCATCATGCAATGCAGGGCATTCCAATTAATGTCACTGTGCTTTTTTGGTCTCTTTTGTTGCACTGTTTCATTCTCAGCAGCTGACCAGCTTCCAGTAGCCCAGTGGCACTGATTTACCTGGCTTGTTTTACATGTGGTGGGTTAACATTGGCTGCTGACCAACGCAGTACAAATCTGCCAAGACAATGGAGGGAAAACCATGATTGTGAGAGACTGATGGCAAATGGGTTCCCTGGTTGGCCACACAGCACCTCCACTGCGGCCAGAGCAAAATATCTTGAGTATCCTGTGCCAAATTTGAGGCAGCAGTGGTTTAATTGCCATCCTCGATTTGCTGGTTGTGAAGGGACTGTCCAAAAGTCTCAGCCATGTGGAATGAGAAGCTTTGCTTTAGGACCAGATTTGTGTAAGGTCTGTCTGGGATCGTTCAGAGACCGACTGTGTTCATGTATTGGTGTATCTGCTCTATTCTCACCTATCTTTTTTAAAAGGGACCAAACAATAGTCACAGTCCACTCTGTTTCCATGTCATTTATCCTCCAGCTCTTGCTTGGCATGCAGGTTTAATCTGATGAGAAGCTGCTGTCAGGTAGGTGCCTGACCATAGGTCATCCCAGATGGAGACCATTGCCTGTGTCTGCGTTTCCTTTAGACTTCTGTGGAACTTCTTCTCAAGCTGCTTCCACGGTGAAAAAGAAATAGACAAGAGATGGAACATCTGAAGTCAGTTACAGGAACTGCAGTTGGGTCTCCAAGGAGGACAGCTGCCTCGTTGATATACAAATAGGAAATGGAAGGGATTCTTCTCTTACACAAAAAGTAACACTTGCTAGAGGTGCAATTTTCCTGAGCCTCATGAGATGATGTGAAGTGGTGAGACCTGGCTATTGCATTGCTGGCAAATGCAGAAGCATTGAATTTTCCACGTATCTTTTTTTCTTTCAGTGTCATCAAGACTGTCACAGACATCCTCCCCTCAGACAAGCTGCCAGTCACCTTCCATCCAGACAGGCAAAGTCATCTCCTCATCCCAGAAGCACAGCAAGAAGGCACTCAAACAGGTGAGTGGCACAGTCTGAGTTTGGGGATTGCTGCAGTAATCTTATTTCTCCGTAGACCATCTTTCTAAGGGAAACTGCACTCTGCGGGGCTGAAAGTCAGGGCTTCCTGCCTGTTGCATAAAACAGGGCTTTGCTAAATCATAGAATCGTTCAGGTTGGAAAAGACCTCTGAGATCTCCAAGTCCAACCCCAGCTCATCCCACCGTGCCCACTGCCCACGTCCCTCAGTGCCACATCCCCACGGTTCTGGACCACCCCCAGGTTTGGTGACCCCACCACCTCCCTGTGCAGCTGTGCCACTGCAGCTCTGCTCTTTTGGAGAAGAAACATTTCCTAACATCCAACCTGAACCTCCCCTGGCACAACTTGAGGCCGTCACCTCTTGTCCTAAAAATCATCCCTCTCTCTCAAAGGAGATTCGGAATACTGTCTTGCTTGGAAAAAGCACCTGGAAATTTTATCATTGTTATTTTAGAGAATGAATCTGAGATACTGATTTTCACCCAAACTTTTTGATGAATGTGCTTAGCTTTCCGCAGTCTGTTTTAGAACAAAGAAGGTTCTTCTGAGAGAAGAATTAAATCCTTTAACTTATTCCCCTCATTAGGGGCATACTTTCCCTTCAAAGGAACTCTGTGGCCCAGGGTATCTTTATGGAGGTGACAGAGGGAAGCAGAGCATGCTGGCTTTGCACGGCTCCTCTAGTGGGCGTTATGAGAGAAGGAGCAGGGCTGGTTGTGCTGTGTGCTGGTATGTAGAGCTTACTGCATGCTCTCAGGATGGAACAGATAACTGTACCTCACACGGTCTGGTTCTTTTAATGAGAAAAAGCAGGATGAATTATTCCCTTAAGGATCTTATTTGCAGGTGTTTCCCCAACAGCATTGTTTAGTTTTCCATGATCCTTAGAAAGGAAGTGCTTTAACAGGGTTAGACTTACTCCTCAGTCAAGCAGAAATCTGCAAGGAGTTATGAATCAACTGCAGAGGAGGTGCGAGTCGAGGGATTACGGAAGCTTGTCACAGACAGATGAAATCCTGATGTGTTCTGGACAGGATTTACCTTTTCCCAGCCTGTTTTCCCAGCTTTTCCCGGCTGAGAAACAACACTCAGGATGGTATTCAGCTCTTAGAGATGCCCGTGGTGTTTGGAAAAGGAGATGCAGTGAGAGATAAGGATCCAATTAGAACGTGCTGTTGAGGAAAATACCGCAGGTGAAGATAAAGAAATGGAATAAACTGGAGCTTTGTTGCCAGTAGGAGTTAGATGGATGTCAAGCCTCTCTTCTTTCTCATTCTCATCTAATGGTTTCCCACTTTTCGTCTCTGAATTCCCTCTGCTCCTCTTGCCACCAGCCTTCCCCACCTCTCCATCCACCCCCTGCATCTCTGCTCTCCCCACGCTTCGCCCCACCTTTCTTGCCCTGTTTACCTCTGGAGCATTCTTGTTCCAGTGCTGACTCCATGCGTTCTGAAATATGTCAGACCTGGTGAGGTCCAGAATTCAGGTGGTGATCTCAGTTTCACTGCTCTCAGCCCTCTTGGGCTGGGGAAGAAAAGACAGAAAGAAAGACAAATGGGGGAACACATGTTGGGCTTGACACGTGGCATACCTTGATCACACTGCACCATTCTGCAGCTGTCTATAAGGCCCAAAGCTGTTTCTGATGGTCACTGTCTTCCATCACAGCAGCATTTCTCCTTGGGTTTTCTTCCCAGAGTAGAGAGTGTGTCCAGTTGGAGTGTGCTGATAACTTATCTTCTGGGCACGCTGGAAAAAGGCTTTTGCTGAAGAGTGCGGTAACCATCCAACCATTGTAACCCACCTGCCTAAAACTCACTGTGGCTTTGGATCAAATGAAGAACATCGTGTGCCCAATCCATTGCTTAATTTTAGTTCCAGTGGAATTCTGCTGTTTTGTCCAACTATCGCATTGGCCACCTCTTCCTAAACACAGTTCCTGCTGTAGACAGGAAAAATTGTGCAAATTAGGTAGAATGAGCAAGCATCAATAGCTGGAGGGAGACAAAGGCCTTATGAGTATACTAGAAAAAAACATAATTGTTATTTCCCTCATAATCCTAAAGAAAGCTTTCATATTTTTAATTATACCCAGATTATTTGCTAGCGTGCAGTAGAGGAGACAGCTGGCTGGACTCAGTGCTGGGTAATTATAACATCACTGGAGGGAAGAGAGAGCAGATTTTAAGTGAGGATGTTTAACCCCTGAACACCACACTGCTGCAGAAGCCACTTGTTCCTTACAGTCTTTGGGAAGAACTGGGAATTGGAGGCTTGCATTACCTCGATCTGAATTGACAGAGGCGTGTCAGCTCTCATCCTGGTCGAATGATGAAACATTCCCAGGGAGAATCCTCCTCTGTTGTAGTGATTGTGTGGTGATACAGAAAAAAAGGCATTCAGACTCTGGAATTCATGATCCAGATTCAGAAAGATGGGCAGATTCTCACCCTGGGCTGGAAAGTGTAGATGCTGCCCCACTTCTTTCCTCTGCTCCTCTCCCGTTCACTGACCTCACCTCCTCCGCACACAGCTCAAGCAGCCACATCCCAAAGCCATCAGAATTCAGATCTCGTCGGAGTTTTCAGAGGTTTTAAATTTTTAATTAAATTGTTTTAATATTGTTTATGCTGCTGGCCTTCATCTTAATCCATTCTTGTTGTCTAATGTTGCTGCACACGCATGGAAGGAGTAAGGCCAGGAGCTGAGCTGGGCTGCACCCTGCAGAAGCTCTTGGGTTGGTAAATCAAACACCCACAGAATCATGGAATCATTCAGGTTGGAAAAGACCTCTGAGATCCCCAAGTCCAACCCCAGCCCACCATGTGCCCACTGTGTCCCTCAGTGCCACATCCCCACGGTTCTGGAACACCTCCATGCTTGGTGACCCCACCACCTCCCTGGGCAGCTGTGCCACTGCAGCTCTGCTCTTTATGAGAGGATGTTTTTCCTAATACCCAACCTGAACATGGGCTGTGTGCTCTGGTTGAGGTCTGAGCCCACACTGAGGTCACAGCCATATTTGGATGGCCAAGGGGGGCGAACGAGCTCCTTTTTGCAAGGCTTCAGAGCTGGCTGGAACCTGAGCAGGGCATTAACACCCAGCAGTCGCCCCGGTGCGTGTGGCTGGAGATCTGCCCTGCAGGGAAGGCAGGCAGCAACCCGCAGACCTGTGATGAAAAGGCAATGTGTGGGTGAGGGGAGAATGGGCCTCGTAGTGCTGGCCTGCATGAAGGCTCTTCTGGAGCCCCCCCTCACCATCCATGTGTGCAAGTTCAGATGCTGCAGTCAATGACCAGATTACGTGGGAATTGAATTTGTATCGAATACCTCCCTATCTTTTAAGCTTCTGACCTCAATAGCAGGAGATTAATTGTGCATAGCAGGGAATGTTTACCCTTCCCAGTTTTCAATTTTGTTGTTTTTTCAGTTTCACTGATTTTTTTTATTTTTATTTATTTTTTTGCCCTGCACTGCAGGTGACTATTTAGGAACTGCTTGATAGATAGGAAAACAGGCATCTGCCATGGCACCTGGTGATTTGTATCCTCCTGTTGTCAGTCTTCTTCAAGTGGTGCCTTTCCAAACTGAGGGTCTGTCTTTCCCTTTCCTCATGTGGCCCCTTCCCGGGGTGTTTATATTCCCTCTCCTGCTCATAACTGTATTTTGTTATGATTGTGTAAGATAGTGATGTTGTCTCATTAACAGCCCCACTCATTTGTATACATGCAGCATATTGTTTTCTCTCACTTCCTATTCCTAAATTCTGGTGTGTGCTTTATCTGTTGGAATTCCTTCTGTTTATTTTTGAGTTCATTTTTTGAAAGCACGCACTTTGGCTTGGGTAGCAGCTGCAGTTTAACCAAATTGCCTCCTTACTTCCTCGTCGCAGCCACTGGTGCCTTTTTGGCAAAGCTGTAGTTGTCTTCACAGCCTTTATTGTAGCAAAGGGTTTTAGTGTTCTATTCCTTATTACTTTCCTAATTAAAAACAAAAGAAAAATCTTTCCTAATGGATGTTGTCTCTGTTGAATGTTTTTAGTAAGTTGCTGCTTGCTTGTCCAGGAGGTGAAAATGAATTACGTTGCAGAATTGATGCTTTGAAATTAGTTATACTTACTACTTGATTACTTGATAATTACTACTTGAACCAGCTCCAGATTTGGAATTCCTTCCTCTAGAGATATCTGTTTTTAATGCAACAACACAACTTTGGGTATTCTGCAGCCATTACCTTTGGCTGTAGGTGCAGAGGTAGGCAGTGTGTGCCTGTAGAGCTGCATTTAAGTAGATCGGTGTCCCATGCAGAATGAGTGAAAGCTTTCATGCGCTCACCGCGAGACTCCAGCTGTCACCTGCTGTCAGTCAGGATGCCTGTGCTGTGCATTCATCGTTTCTGAGAGTGTTTTGAATTTCCTCTTCCCCAGGCCTTGAAACAGCAGCAGCAGAAGCAGCAGCAGCAGCAATGCAGAGCAGGCATGCCGGTGTCCTCTAATCAGCACGTCCTGCTGAAGGCTGTCAAGGCAGCCAGTGCCTCCACACCTACAAAACCTGGTACGTGGCAGCAGCTCCTGTCCTGCTCATTGCTATTGTCACTGTCATTGTAACTTGCTTTTTCTTTCTGGGGAGTCTCCTTCTCTGGAGATGTTCAAGACCTGCCTGGATGCCGACCTGCTGTAGGGAACCTGCTTTGGCAGGGGGTTGGACTGATGAGCTCTGAGGTCCCTTCCAACCCCTACAATTCTGTGATTCTGTGATTCTCTTAGGGGAGGAAAGAATAAAGTCCTCTTTTCCAATGGTTTTGTTTCTGAGATATTCCAGCTCCTTTCTCCCTGGCTTGGACTTTATTAGGAGCACATTCTGTTAGGAACAGATCTTGAATGGGTTTTACTGTGCAACATCTTTCTGTGACAGATGTCATCCCCCTTAGTTGCATATGCACTGTAGTCAGGTCTTTCTCACGTCTAAGCAAATTAGGCAGAGATTCTTTTAGTATTCATTTCTTTGCAGACTGCCTTTCCATTCTGTAGTGTGGCTTTCATGTCATGTTTCAAAGATGTATGTTTTTACCTGAAAGATTCTGAAGTGCTCTCCTGAAATTACACTACATTGGAAATGAATGCAGTCGTAGAATCATCGCAGAGTGGTTTAGACTGGAAGGGACCTTAAAGATCATCCAGTTGCAACCCCTTGCCATGAACAGGGCTGCTCTGCTCTGTCTCGTTCAGCAGTACATTTGCTTCCTTCCCAGCAGCAGGTTGTCACTGCTCATCACAAGTTCTGTGTGGTTACTTCTGGCCAGTTATGTGTAGTCTGTTCTCATCAGAACTGCTTTCCAGGATGAGCTCCCTGTTCTGTAGGCATGATTTCAGTTGTTAAGATGCAGCAAATGGCTTCTGTGTTTCTATTGCATGGTTTACACCAAGCCCAAGGTGCTGCAGGCCTGGGGCAGACATTTCTTTCTCAGTTGGAAGAGTCCTGCTGTCCATCTTAGTCCTTCTATAAACTTACTGATGTAGAGAATTAAAACCCTGCAGCACATTCAGGGTGTGGATCCGTTCTGAATTCATATGCTGTCATGGTATTCTTTGTTCTTTTGCTAACCATCCCCAGCATTTGCTTTGTTTTTTTTTTTACCTAGCCAAGAGAAGCCATTTTCCTGGAACTGTTAAAGTTCCAACCCTCTTTCCTGACTTATTTTCTATCTTAGGGCCCAACACTGCATATGTAAGGTTAGGAGAGTTCTTTTTGCACATCACTTCTGTCTCTGTGCAGTGAATCTCACCTGTTGTTCTGTCACTCAGTTATCCAGCAGCATGAAGTCCTCCTGCAGCAACAACAGGGGACTGAAATCTGTACCAAAAAGCAAAGATCTTCTCTGGTTCCTTCCTGCTGATTCTGATCCTGCAGCACATACTCAGGTCCTGTCTGAAGTCCCAGCACTTAGCCCCACTCTTAGCCCTACTATTTACCCATTATTGTGAGTAAAATGCTGTGCTTTCTTTCAAACTCAAACACTTCCAGGAGTGGGAAATTCCCTCCTTCTTAATAATGACCCCGTCTTTTTCCATCGTTAAGCCTTGATTTATGTGGCTGATCTTGGTTCATCTCAGAAAGATGATGGCCACGAAAATGGAACCACTGTGAAAAGCACAGCAAGAGTGCTCAGTGTAAAAGGCTTCTGTCACAGATGGAGTGACTGAGGCTGGCAGCCATGAATCAGAGGTTCCAATTCAGGTTGGAAAAGATCTCAGATCCCCAAGTCCAACCCCAGCGCAGCCCACCGTCCCCATTGCCCACATCCCTCAGTGCCACATCCCCACTGTTCTGGACAAGCCCCAGGTTTGGTGACCCCACCATCTCTCTAAGCAGCCCGTCCCAATGCCTGACCACTGTTTCAGAGAAGGAATTGTTCCTGATATCCAACCTGATGTCCCTTGGTGCAACTTGAGGCCATCACTTTGCATTCTATTACCTGAGAGAACGGCTGCCCGAAAAATGAGAGAGAAAACACACAAGAGACCACAGCAAAATTACATTTCCAATTTCAAACCCTCAGCTATTTTTAGTCTTCTTAAAATTAACTTCTTGCCCTGCTTGCAGCCAGGGAAATGCCCCAGAGCACCGCTTAGTTTACGAGTACGGAAGTAGCCAGAGAGGGCTGCATAGCAGCCATACAGTGAAGCAGCAGTAGTCACATGAACATTCTGCTGTTTGCTGTTGGATTATCTTGGTGTAACGCTAGGAACTGTGCTGCAATTCCCTGCTCATGTTAAAAAGTCCACAGCCATCAGAAACGGGCTCTAGGACGCCCCTGAGAGCTCATCTTGTCCATAGGGCAGGATCTGCTGTGCTGTCCTGACAGATGCTTTTTCCACTCTGTTCTCTGAGACACTGTTGCAAAGGCCAGAAACTCCCAGCAAATCTTGACCTTCCTGCTTTGTTAACTCTGTCCTTACATTGTTTTTATCAGTCTCCAATCAAAATCTTTCCTTGGTTTGGTTGAAAACCAAGATTTCCTTCCTGTCCACTGTGGAAATAGAAGGTTATTTGATTGTTTGGTTATTTGATATCTTCTCTCTACAGCCTTTCACATAACTGGAAATGTTGTCTCATCTCTTGCTCATTTTCTTTAGTATAAAGTTCTTCCTGTGTTTTTTAGTGTGTTTGTTTATTCTCCCTTTCCAAATAGCCCTAAAGAAATCCAAACCCAAACTAGACCAATCTGTCCTGGCTGGCTGATTCATACTGCTGGAATGTTTCTTGCACATCTGTTCAGACATATGCAAGGTTGCAGCCATGTGCTGTACATCCATTTGAAAGAAACGGCCATACTTAGCTGTGCTTCATGCATCATTTAAAGGCAGAGGAAGGGATGCGGGCATTGAATCGTTGATGATGTTTCCTGTTGTTCCCAGACAGCTTTGCAGTTCAGACCCTTTCTGAAAGGTTCAGGGGAAAACCATGAATCTTGTGTTTGTCCTGAGCTGTGGTCCTGCTCGTGCAGCCTGGGACGCAGTTACCATTGGTTGGCATGGTGGTGATGGGTTGGTGGTTGGACTGGATGATCTTAGAGGCCTTTTCCAACCTCAGTGTTTGTTTCAGTGATTCTGCCAGGCCTCGCTCCCCAAATCTCACCAGCCAGCCAGCTACAGTTGTGTCATTCTGTGATTCTTCCCTTCCATTTGTCCACCCATCCAAACCTAATGTCTCAGCTTGCCTGCAGCGTTTCAGGACACAATGTCAAATGTCGTGCTGAAATTGAGGTAATTGGCATCCACCTGTCTTCTCTCATCCACAAATCCAGTCATTTGATGGCAGAAGGTAATCAAGCTATTCAGGCATGATTTACCCTGCTAAATCCACACTGACTGCTTCCATCTCCTTCGTGTGCACAGCACTGTGCTCCAGTGTGGCATTACAGGGACGACTGTGACTGGTCTGTATTTTCTGGTTGTATTTTTCACCCTTTTTGACAGTGGGTGCAACGTTTGCTTTGGAGTTAAGGATTAAACTCACTTCACACATTGTCTCAAGAAAATCAGAGAGAAACTAGGTTTGGAAAAGCCCTCTCAGGTCCACAGGTCCAACCCCAACCCAGCCCACTGTGCCCACTGCCCACTGTGTCCCTCAGTGCCACGTCCCCACAGTCATGGAACACCTCCAGGTTTGGTGACCCCACCACCTCCCTGAGCAGCTGTGAAACTCTGAAACTGTGCCTCTGCAGCACTGCTCTTCATGAGAAGAAATTGTTCCTAATACCCAACCTGAGCCTCCCTGACAAATACATTTCTCAGCTTTTGCTGTAGTCCCTATAGAATTGGACTTGCTTAGTAGAAGCAGTGTACATTCATGCATCCCCCAATTAAGCTCTTAAGTGGAGACCTGTCATTATCTGTAAAGGGAGGGAAGACCTGGTCGTGTTGTTAACTCATCTCACTTAGAAAGAGGAGAGAAAGGCAGGCAGGGAGAATCTGGGGAAGAAATCCTTCCCACCAGCAGAAGATAGTAGTGCTGTGCAAAAAGGAGTGTGGGTGGCACTGCTTTGTAAGGCAAAATCAGCGTGGTGAAATCATCAGCTCAGTAGTGACTCTGGGGGAGGACGTGAAAATATCTGAGTATTTGAAAGGGGAGGAGGAATTACTGAGGTTGGCCTAAAATAATAACATTTAGAAGAAAGGGTAAGAAATTAGAAAGTACACATAAGGTATGAAAAGATTTTTTGTGACGGTGAACTCCGGTAGAAATTAAAGCTGCATCTGAAAGGACGTTTCAACAGGATCCTTACTGGACTGAGTATAAATGGGAAGTAAAATGGGACTAGCAGGAAAATAGACTCAAACCATGACTGAAATGGGTGTCCATCTCTTCGTTTTGTCTTTGTTTTGTGACAATGAGAGAGCTACAGAGGGCCGTTCTGCTCTCAGCCTGCTGGGAAATAAGTGCTACAAGAATAAAGGAGTATCAATATCATAGAAGTGCTTGTCCCAGAGCTGCTGGGATTGCAGTGAGCGTGTTAAAGTGAGCGTGTTTGTTTCAGTCCAAACAGATGTCTTGTATAATATTTCTTTGTATATCCCTGTGTTGAACTGTTTCAATTTCCTGTGCAGCTTGGGTAGGAAAGCAGTCCGATGGACACTCAAACAGCTCTCAGAACTCCACCTCCAGCTCCTCTGCCTCTGTTAAGCTTGACAACTCCTTGCCAGGGCTGGGGAAGAAGCCATTCCAGAGATCTGACAGGCTCCACGCAAGTAAGACATTGATTTTTTCTGATTTAGTTGTTGTGATGACAGAACAAAAGGCAGAATGGCAGCGCTGACTGAAACATGCCATTAATTCCATTTCCGCAGTGATTTGTGGAAGGCACTCCCACTATTCTGCATGAACTGAGAGAAATCATTCAAACCTTTCGTATACAAATAAGCCTTTGCTCATTTTGTAGCACCGAGGGTTTCTGCCAGTGAATGTGGAGCTCAGTTTGAGAAGCAAAGAAGGATTTGCATTACTTTGAAGGCTTTTTGTATGTACTTAAGGCACTGTGGTAACAGACAAAGAGGAAAAAACGCTCCTCCCCAGATCCTTCAGGCCCCGGTGTTACTTAGCTTCCTTCCCATTCATCTTTCCCAACTTCTGTAGTTTCTTTTGCATATACCAAGGATGGGATTGACCTTGGTTAACACTGCTCCAGCCGTGCTAATCATCCCAGATTTCCTTTATTGCTGGTGAAGAATTGCTGGCACTGTGAGGGCGTGTTTCATTTGCCCTCCATTAGATTCTGTCTTACTGCAGGATGATTTGTGCCCTGGAGGTCTGACTTAGGGAAGCCTAGGAAGCTAGCTGAAGTGCCAGTCCCTGCATGCTAGACACCTCTGTAGGTTTGGTGGAATAAAATAGGGTGTTGTTATGTGAGTGGCACCTTGACCTGCCTCCAGAAGTCACAAGGAAAAGAGGACAGTGTGTTCTCATTACATACTGGACCAGAATCCCATCAGTTGAGAACTGTTCACCCACAAATCCTCTGAGGCTTCTCTCTTTCCCCGTTCCTTCTCCCACACCACAAGGCTCAGACCCATTTACAGAGCCACGCGAGATAAGGCTGCTTTTACAGTTCTTACCTTGGCCGTTTAAAAAGGATTGTGATCCACTGATGTGGAAGAATTGCCAGGTTCTCAAGTTCATATGGATGAAATACTGGAAAAAAACATAAGGCAGAGGAATGCTGGTGCCATTTTTGTGGATGGACTCTCAATCAGATGGGAGGCAGGCAGCCAGGTTGAGATGCTGCTCTCCTGCCCAGCTTCGTCTCACTCTGTAATCAGGAAACTGCAGCTCCTGATAAATTACAGACCTGCAGTTCCTGAGGGAGTCGTGTATGTGATAGAAATGCTTTCTTTGCTTTTATTTTCTGAGTTTGCAGCACATACATGAAGCTGGCTGTAACATAAGAGTCAGTGCTGAATTTGTTGGCTTTCAAACGCAGAAAAGGAGAGAGGATTGCTCGTTTTTGTTGCTTTGTCCAGGCTTGTGGTTTCAACACAAGCAAAATGAGCTGCTTTTAGTGAGAGTAAAGCAGGAAAGTCCAAGAAGAAATCCCTAAGAACAATGTGACCTTAACTGGAGGCTTAAAATAGAAAACTGGTGTGGCTGAAAGTTTGTGCAGAAACCCTTCTGAAAAAGAGTTCTTGCCAGCCCCCAGATAGACACCCAGGCTTCCTAGGAAATCCGGATGAACTGACCCAGGGTACGATGCAGTAGGAAGAATTCAGTGACAGAAATGACCTCCCAGTTTTGTTTCTAACTATATGTACAACTTTTTGCAAAGGTACATGGTGTATTTCAAGTTAAGGTTTGAAACGGAGCGCTGAAGCGCTCTTTGGGAGCCTTTAATCCTCTCATAGATAAGATGCTACTCTCTGTTCTCTCTGGTTCTTTTCAGGGCAGCTGAAGAGAACAAAGTGTGCTGAAATTGACGTGGAAACTCCCGACTCCATCCTGGTGAACACCAACCTGAGGGCACTGATCAACAAGCACACGTTCTCTGTTCTGCCCACAGAGTGCCAGCAGCGCCTGCTGCTGCTGCTGCCAGAGGTGGACAGGCAGGTGAGTTGTGGTTCGGGGGCAGGGAGAAGGCTCCTGGTATCAGTGGGGAGTAAATCTGATGAGACACAGAACCATAGACTGGCCTGGGTTGCAAAGGCCCACAGTGCTCATCCAGTTCCAACCCCCTGCTGTGTGCAGGTCACCAACCAGCAGCCCAGGCTGCCCAGAGCCACATCCAGCCTGGCCTTCATTGCCTCCAGAGATCATGCAGACATCCAAGCACTACATTAATCTCTAATGGAGTAGACTTTTTTTATTCTGTGTACCGTGCAAAATATTACAACATTCTTCTATGTTTCCTTTGGGGATTTGTTGCTACCAGATTAAAGAATTCAAGTTTGATAAATCAGTGGCTTAGTTCCATCCAGTCAACGCTATGTTCCCAGCTACAGTGAGAGAAGTGTTTGTGGTACATCAGACTCCACAAGGGCCAGTGGGAGGAACATGGTGGTCTCATTGTTTTCCTCTCTTATCTTCTCCCAGACTCTTTGGTACAGGATTAACCCTGCAGTTTTCTGGACAGGTGCCTTCCCAATACCTGAACACACAGTGGAATTCAGTTCCATCTTCTTCTGTTTCTCATTATCTCGTGTTGCCGCTGTCAAATTTTGGGCTTTGCTAAATTCAAAACGGAGCGAGTTTTCAATTGCATTTTTATGTTGTCCAGACTGCAGAGTAAACCCCAAAGAGTTGGTGTCCTGATCTGAAACACACAGCAGGTGAAAGGCAGCAGGCACACAGCAGGAGGCACCTATGGGGCAGTTTGTTTTTTGCAGATGCTGTGCTCGACACCTCTGTGTGTGGGAGGAAAAGGACTTGAAAAGCCAGGAAAGTACTTGGTGGGAAGGAATGGGATCCACATCAGGATTTCTGTTCTATCCTGAGGGATACAAAACAACCTGCTTGAAGCAGTCTTAACATCACAGCAGTTTTCTTCAGCAGTGGATCCAGGGATGATAGAGATGAGACCAAATGTTACCCTTGCTTGTAAAAGGAGGAAAATACAGTGAGTTCAGGGAGTGAAGTTCAGTCTGTTTGTGCTGAGTACCAGAAAGGTTAGAGCTTGAACAAGGAACTTCCTTTTGCCTTCATCATATGATATGTTGATGTCAGCATTCCTGCCTCAATGGGCCTGGGAGCTTCCAAGCAGCGTGGGATTCTGCACTGTGCTTGCATGGGATTCTGCACTGCCTTTCCTCTTCTGTTGTAGGGATGTTTGTTCAGATGTATTCACGTACAACCTGGAGCATCCTGCAGACACCATGGGTGGCTTTGGGACATCCTGTATCAGATCTGGGTGTCCCTTGAAGATATTTTACTGTGTCTGTTCAGATTAGGGCTACGTGCCAATTCATACTCATCTCAGTCACTCCCAAGGGGTCTGCATCTCAGCTGTAGTTATTCCAGGCTCCTTTAGAAAGTGGAAATCCAGTTGGTACAGTCAGCAGCATGCAGCCAAACCAGCTGCTTCACGATGAAGCCTTTTTGTTGGTGCTGCTGTTCTGCAGCTCACGGAGCATTAATAATGCATATGGGTCACACAGCTGCACTGAGGTCTGCTGTGCAGAGGGTGCTGTTGAGCAGATCCATTAGGAGTTAGGAAGAGTTGTGATGTTGTGTCATAAATTCTAATCTTCAATCAGGCCCATCAGGGGCTTGTTAGTTCAATAAATAATTGGAGGACTTGTTTTTTAAGTCTTGTTGCCTTTGCAGTAGTGAGGTACATATCAGAGTACGATGTGATGGAGTTTGCAGCTGGAATTCACTGGCAAGAAGCTCACAGCAGATGGCAAGACAATTCTGTCCCAACTTTTAAGTTTAATTATCCTTAAATTCAATTAGAATTTGACTGAGAACGAATTTTGATTATCTAAATAATGCAGCTTAGCTTCTGAGAGGCTGCATTTTGCATTTCACCATGGTAAATCACCCACCCCCCAGTGACACACTCCATAGCAGTGTCAGACTTTCCCGTAGTGAACAGAAGAGGTGAAGACATTGGATGTGCCAAAGGCAAAAGGTCCCCTCTCCGTTGTGTCTGTGTGGAGGTGGCTTAGTGCCTCTCCAAGTGGGCGCTTACTGAGACGTGGCCCAGGGCTGTGCCCTGACACCAGGTATGGGCAGACCGTATGTGCAGCAGAGGATCATCTTTTGAGTTGCACTCTGTGGCTGATCGGTATGGATTTGGATTAGAACAGGAACCTCTCTTTCTGTACATCTCTGTAGTGGTTCTGCAGCTGCAAATTACTGAATGTGCCTTTTTGTGTTTCTAACAGAAAAGTGCACATTTGTTTCCGTGTGGTGATCGTTTCCCACCGTGCTGTGTTCCAGTCTCAGCCTTATGCTTTTGCATTTACGTCCTGCACTGTAACTTGACTATCCAATTTGGTTAGCTATATTTTCAAGACCAAATGAGTTTAGAGCTTCACTTGTCCCTGTTTTTCCAGAGGCAGCTATGATTATGTTTACAGGCATTTCAGAGTTTAACCTGATGACTTTTATATCCCTGCTTTTGCTCTGCACAGCGATTCAAGGCAATGTCCTGCATTAATTTTGCAGGGCAGAATGCATTTGAAGAGGCTGTTCATGGGCATTGCTGTCCCATTTCCTTGCACTTCTTGCCACCTGTATCTTGCTCTGTTTGTGTGCGTTTGTGCAGCAGCAGAGCAGGAGGCTTGGGCTGAAGCAAAGAAGAGGAAAATTTGTCACAATCTCCGGATTCCAGACTTGGTTTCTTTTCTTCGGATTGAAATAAAGGCTGACTGTAGAGAGATTTGTAGCAACATTGCAACTCTCGCTCTGTTTTTACACAGCACAACATGAGATGTTTGCCTTTTCAGCTAATCATCACTGTTTGCTTTGTGATGTATTCCAGGTTGGGGCAGATGGTTTGATGAAGCTGAGTGGTTCAGCGTTGAACAATGAGTTCTTCACTTCAGCTGCCCAGGGCTGGAAGGAGAGGTTGTCAGAAGGTAAGACTTCCCATAGCAAAGAAGTAAAGTGTTACAAGGCTTTCAGCTCATCAGTGTTTTGGGGAATGTGTAAAATAGATTTGATGGGGAAACTGAAAGGCTGGATAAGTTCCTAGGTAAAGACAGCTGTGGGCAATGTAGCCCATAAGAGCGAGTGCAAGCGTAGATGTATTTCCTCTTAGTGGGGAAATGCTGGTGGTTGGTTGGTGGTGGGACTGGATGATCTTTGGAGGTCTTTTCCAGCCTTGGTGATTCTGTGATCTTATGAAGTGCAGGTCACAGTAAGGTCTGTAGTAAGGAATTGTCTTCTGAACGTAACGTGTGGAAAAATGAGCAAGTCTGTGGAAGAAGTGGCAAAAGAATGAAAAATGGTTTTGAAATGTTGGTGAAGTGCCAGTAGAGGTTTGTTATTATCCAGCCAAATACAGCCCAGTAGAGAAGGTAAATTATATTCCCAGATAACGCACTTTATCATCAGTGAAGTGATCTTGTCATATCTGGTGCTGTCAGTCCCCCAAGACGTTGTTCTTTACATGCCATAAAGACAGCCAAGTACAAATACATAGCATGCCTGCACCTTCAACAGCCGTTTGCATCTCAAACTCAGAGGTGCTGAATTCTTTAATTTAATCGAGCTACATCATCACAAGTGCACTCACTCCTTGGCAGGGACTGTTTCCCCTCCAGAGTTCAGCCACACAGCTTCTCACCAGCATTTTTATAAAGACAGCAGGGTCAGCCATGACTCACTTTAAGAAGGGAATGCCATTTACTCATGTGCAGATCGGATACAATGGATTCTTAGGAGGTTTTTCCATAGGAAAAGCATCCTATTCTGTATCACCATTTATATTTTGTGGGTGTATCTGTGACAGTAAGCAGACAAGGAACAGAGTTCAGCTGTCTGTACTTTGTAATTGTTGGAACCGCCTGTAATTTTGGCCCTCATCCTTGGGTGTTTTCCCTTTAAAGCCAAACTGAAGACCTTTCATCCATTCATCCACATCACATCTGCAGGGTACAACAGTGTCCAATCACCAGATTATAAACACAACGGCTGTAGAACCTTCTGTGCTCGTAAAGCTTGCAGCAGTCGAGCTCAAGAAGTCTGGAGGTGTCCACTGACATTCTCACTAAGCAGCATGTCACTGCTCAGGTCTCAAAGCTTGATGGTACTGCAGGCAGAACGGTCCTATAGGTTTTGTTTGGCTGCAGCTAGTGCACTCAGGCCCTGACAGTGTGCAAACTGTCAGGTGAAAGCATGACTGCATGGTCAGACATCATTACTGTAGATAGAAGCAGCACAACCTGCCAGATTGACATCAGTACCTGCCTGAGGAGAGATACGGCTCAGTGGTCCTTCTAAGCTGAGGTCAGAAGCTTAGGATATCTTCATACAGCAGCAAGATTTGTTTGTAGAGGAGGTTTGGGTTGGATATTAAGAACAACTTCTCCAGAACAGCAGAGCTGCAGTGGCACAGCTGCACAGGAGGTGGTGGGGTCACCAAACATGGAGGTGTTCCATGACTGTGGGGATGTGGCACTGAGGGACACAGTGGGCAGTGGGCACGGTGGGCTGGGTCAGCAATTGGACTTGATGAACTTGGACAACTTTTCCTTCACGATTCTAAGAATCTGCAAGGCATAAAATGGTGGAAATGACAGAAATAGTTTGTCACCATGGGTAAAAATTTTCAGAAGCATCAAATGACTTCAGAGCAGATGGGCCGCGTTTCGGGGAGCTGAGGGAACTTCCAGTGCCTGAGAGGCCCCTGCCCATCATCCTGAAAAGGAAGTGAAGACTGGCAGAAATTTCCCGCAATTAAGAAAGGCAAATGTTGCACTCACCTTCAAAAAGCACCAGAAAGGTCATTTGAGAAAATGCAAATCTGGTCAGTCTCAGTTTCATCGTGGTGCGAGCCCTCTTGGAGGACATTCCTGGGTGTGTGAAGGAGAAGGTGATTGGGAACACTCAGTATTTACTTCTTGCCTGCTTGGCTTGAGTGCCTAAAAAAGCCCTGAATTTGTGAATAGCAGAGATCAGTAGGTGCCATTCACATCAACATAAGCAAAGCTTTTTGGCACAGCTGCCCGGGGAGGTGGTGGGGTCAGCATCCCTGGAGGTGTTCCAGAACTGTGGGGATGTGGCACTGAGGGACGTGGGCAGTGGGATGGTGGAGTGGGCTGGGGTTGGGGATCTTAGAGGTCTTTTCCAACCTGAATGATTCCCTGATTCTATATCTTGTCTCCCACAGTATTCTGGTATCCAACCTGCAACGTTAGGGTGTAGGTGACTTCATAGCCACCTGAGAGAGCAGCTTATGGGGAGTTCTGCCTCGTGGTTCACACCTGGATGCTGGTAGCACATGGAGCACACGGGTCTGTGTCGGCACCCCACGCATTTACTATCTGTCAGTGACCCAGGGGCAGTTTGCAGGGGACACCAGATAGTGGGCACCAGTTGATGTGCTTGAGGGCAGTTGCCATCCAGCAGAATCCAGCAAAACAGGCAGCAGAGGAACACCTTGCAGCTCAGGAGAAGTGTAGGGCTGCACTGTCAAAAGCTGTGGAGGGCTTCTGTGAGACAGGATGGTCATCTGCAAGCATGAGGGCTCCTGTGGTTATCCTAATTCACTTTATCCATGTCTTGTTTTGCACCTGTCCCTTATTGCATTTTGCAGGTGAGTTCACACCAGAAATGCAGCTAAGAATACGTCAAGAAATAGAGAAGGAAAAGAAGGTTGAGCTGTGGAAGGAACATTTTTTTGAAAGCTACTACGGCCAAAGGTAAGGACCTGCAGCATCTTTTTTACCCCCACCACTGCCTCTCTGGACACACTTATTGCTAGGGATTTCGTGTGCTGCCCAACAGCAGACATTACCTTTTATCAAACCTCAACAAGATGTAGCTTCATTAGATTCCCAACTTGTTCGTTTCTTGTGTAAATAAGGATGGATGCACAGGACAGGCAGTGTTGGTTCCAAGCAAAGGGTACATCAGTGGTTCTGCTGCTGGCCATGTTCTTCTGGAAGAAACTGAGGGATGCTTTTCAGGAGCCCGGAGTCCATTTCAGCAAATGTCACCATATGAGCTGACGTCAGATGCAAGCTGTGTGGGACATTTTGCATATGGCAGAGATAGGCCTGCAGGGACAAGGAAAGGAAATGTTTACTGTTGGCCAAATTCTTTTGGTTTGCAGCTTGGAAAATGAGTATCTGGGCAGAGGACTACATCTAATACGTGCTCCACGTATTTTGTTTAGCTGGTTTTAAACATTGCTGTTAAGTTCTGTTTCGTTTGGAAGCACTAACAGTAGTGAAGGATTTCAAAGATCGTGGCATAAAATCAGTAAGAGTTACATTTACTTTGGGTATGGTGTTTAGACAGCCCTCTGTTTTTGTAAGGATAGCGTGCTTCTTGCAAGAGTGTTTCACAAAACAAAAATTGTACTTTTCTTGTTAGTTCTGGATTAAGTCCTGAAGAGTCTGAGAGACTGACAGCCAACACCAGCGCTGATGACGTAGAGAATGAAAAGCCAGCAGCAGAACAGCCAAAATGCATGCCAGTCAAAGAGATCACTTCTCCATTGGAGTCTAAAGCACAGGTGGTCCAGGAAGCACCCGCAGTGAGAAAAGGAGTAGAGGAAAGAAGAGGAGAGGAGAGGAGAGAAGAGATGCAGCCCAAAGCAGCCAAACCTGTCGAGGCCTCGGTTTCCCCAGCTGGGTGTGCAGCGAAGCCCAGCAACCCCCAAATCCAAGAGAGAATCCAAGGAGAACCCATCCAAGAGAAACCACAGCCTGCAGTGAGCCAGAAGCTGGAAGAAGAGAGGAAGCACGCTGCATCAAAGGAAGTGAAGGAGGCTGTGCGTGCCCCGGTCTTGGCCCCAAGCAAACCAAAGAGCCCTGAAGCAGGTGAAGCAGCAGCAAAGGTCGCCGAAAGTCCCGTGGTCGCCCCGCCGACGCCAGAAAAGAAACCCGCTGTGAATGAAGAAATGGAGGTCAGTGTGGAAGGCCATAAGAGGAAGTCGGAGGGCGGTGAAGAAGCTCTGACCACGCCTGAGAAGAAGCCGCGCATTGCGGAGAAGTGCCAGCAGCAGCAGCCGGCGTTTCGCGGCCAAACGCAGTCCTTTCCTGCTGCCGGGCCCCCGGTGCCACGCGTGCCCCCGCTCAAGGTAAGGAGAAGGGAAGGCAGATCCACAGAGTGGGTTCGTGTTGGTCAGCTGGTCGTGTTGGTCGTGCTGGGTCAGCTCCGTTCTGGCTCTGCATGCAAGTTATGTTGCCTGCTTACTGCGGTGATGGAAGTGTTTGATCCAAAAATGCAAAGCTTAGCTGTTTGCTAAAGGAATGGAGTTCAGTGAAGTCTCCTGTACACACACATCCGTTACAAGCCCTGCTCAACCAGGAGCTGCAGCAATTGCACGACCGAAATCACAAAGGGAGCTGCAGCCCAAGAGCACAAAGAACTTTGTAGGTGTATCCGCACTGGTACAAGAATGGGCCTAGAAAGAATGCTGTCAGCAGTTTGCTCTGCTATATCAAGTCCAGGAAGTAAACTATTTGCCTGTGTTAAAACTAAGTAAAAAAATGATGTGGTTGTCATTAATACTGAATGCAGTGAAGTATCAGACTAGGTAGCAGAGGGCTGTTTTAGGGAAAGCCCTTTATCTGCTGATTCTTGGTAGGAATCTACATATGAAAAGATGACGTGGTTTTCAGTGATCACAGGCATGGATTGATGGTTGGAATGGATTATCTTATTGGTCTTTCCAACCTTTACAATCCTGTGATTCTGTAAGTTAAGCAGTGAATTACCAGAAAGGAAAACAGAAACGAATTGTGACAGTGACAGAAGGGTTGCAGACTTTGGCCTGAGCAATGCTGTTCTCTTGTACCTCAGACGTAGGCCATAGGAAACACACCTGCTATTGAGCTTACAGGAAATTCCCAGCTCAGCTCCCTTGTTTGGGGCCTTAGGCAGAAACTGTGCATGGAAAACGATTCAATTGCTCTATTTCTGTATGTTCTAAGAATAATAATCTCTTATTAAGTTTAGAAGGTAACTGGGAGTCAGCAAAGTATCGTGGATGTGTGAAAACAAATGTGACTTTAAAGGATACGAGCTTAAGTCATTACAGATGAGAGAAAAGCACTACTATGAGTGCACTGATCTCATCATTTCCACTTTAGAAAGAAAGGGCGATCACATATAAAGTGTACTGCAAAGTTGAGGGGAGTGGAGTGCATGTGTTAGAAGACAGGACTAAAATTTGGCATTTTATGTGAAGGTACACAGTAGAGGATTAATTGTTTATAGAAGGACACCAAGGAGTGAAACGTAGACATGCAGGGGTAGCAGAGTAATTCACAGATGTACAAATGGATGTAAGCTGCACATGTGTAATGTTAAGCATGAAACCTACACTAAGGGATGAGAGGTGTTGAGTTTTGGTCGCTTTTGATTGAGCTCAGTAGGCTGTGTAATGATGGAGCGTGGTGGAACAGCCTGTACCTGCACGGGAGGAGCTTCCAGCCTGAGTTAATGAGGTGATACCAGACCCAAAACAGGCGTGCCAGGCATCAAAAGGATGTGGACCTTCTCTGTATTCTTCTCAAGTGAGAATTCCAAAAGCATTGATCTAGAACTCCAACCGTAAACACTTCTGTCCTTAACGATGCGGGTTAAACATTCCCTGTGTATCAATTCCACTTTTCTCCTCTCTTTCAGATTCCCGTTTCCCGAATCTCCCCCATGCCATTTCCTGCGGGCCAGGTCTCTCCCAGGGTACGTTTCCCAGCCTCACTCATCAGTCCGGCCAGAACAGGGGCCAGAACCTTGGCGGACATCAAGGCCAAAGCCCAGCAGGTCAGGGCTCAGAGGGCAGCGGCCGCAGCAGCCGCCGCCGCCGCTTCTTCGGGGGGAGCAGTGCCAGGGCCGGGCCCCGGCGGGGGCCCAGCGGGCGGCGGAGGGACGGGTAACACAGCGACGAGTGGAGGCGGCGAAACTGGAACGCGAGGAAACGCACTGGAACTGGCAGGAACTGGAAGCGGGGGAGGTTCGAGAAGGTTTCTTCCACGCTGCCCAGGGACCCATTCCCCAATGGAGACTCAGGAGCAGCCGGCAACCCCCAGTCTTTCTAGAGCACAACTACAGCAAACTTCCACGTTGCAATCCAGAAGTGCAGCTGGCAATGCAGGCACCAACTGCTCCTCCCCAGCGGTATCAGCGATTGAGCAAATCAGCAGAATCAAACAGAGCCCCCCAAACGTGGCTGTAAATCAGGTTTCGGGCTCCTCGTGTGCTGGTGGCTGTGACAAACAAGAGAAAGCACCTTCTGCTCCAGCAGGTCCCGGCCAGGCCTGCGGGGCATCAACTGTCAGGGATGGAACAACTTGTGTCACCGTGTCCTCAGCAGACAGCAATGCCAACATCACCAAGGTAACACCTGCGGCCTTAGGAGGGACCAGCTCAGAGGTCCCCAAAGGCACATCTCCTTCCCCTCTGATGCCTTTGCTGACCCCCACTAGCTCAGAAGCCCAGGCTGGAGGTGCGGTGGTGTCAGCTCCATCTGCCCCATGCTCCATCACCTTGTCAGCAGCACCTAGCCTTAAAACCCATCCGAGTTCAAGCGGGGCCCTCCCAAAAGCAAACTCCAGTATTCCTGCCAACAACCCTTTAGTCACCCAACTTCTTCAAGGCAAGAGCGTTCCCCTGGAGCAAATCCTGCCGAAGCCTCTCACCAAAGCAGAAATGAAAACTGTCCCATTAGCTTCTAATGAAGAGAAAGGGGCAGCAATTGTAGCAGGGAGTGGTGCTGGAGCCGAGGGCGGTGAAAGGCAGTCGGGGTTATCCCCACAGCAGCTCGGGAAGATCTTTTGCCAGAGCAGGCCTCTGCCTCACATTCCAAGGACATTTGTGCTCCCTGCAGGAAAGGAACCCAGTGCTGACCAGCACCCAGAGGCGCTCAGTAAAACAACGCAGGAGCAGATCCTTCAGACGCTCATCAAGAGGGTCCAGAGGCAGAATTTGCTCCCGGTCCTTCAGCCTTCCCAAGTGAACCTCGCACACTCAGGTTTCCAGCTAGAAAACAGCTCCACCAGCCAGAGATTTGTGCTGGGTTTCATGGGCAGAAGGACATCCAAACCCGCTATGTCTGGTCATTATCTGCTCAACATTTCCACCTACGGCCGTGGTTCAGAGAGTTTGAGGAGAGGTTTCTCCTTGAACCCTGAAACCCGCTCTTGTCTGAACAGCCCAGCCAGTGGTCCAAAAGCAGAATTTGGGGAATGTGAGGAGATGGCTGGCCATGGCAGCAGCAGCGAGGAAGGAGATGCGGATGATGAGAGCACTGGTGATGAACGCGAGCATGTCAGCGTAAAAGAGGAGCCCCAGGCTTTCCAGGTGGCTGCTCCATGTGAAAAAGAACAGGTATCACACGGTGCAAATTCCTCAGATTACAGCATCCTTGCTAAAAAGGGGATGAAGACGGAAGCGGCCGTGTCTCAGCAGGCAGCCGGCAGCAGGGAGAACATTCAGGAGTTGGATGGAACGGCGTTAGCAGGAGATTTTATTCAGGCCGCTCAAGAGCAAATGGTGCACACAGTGAAGGGAAAAACGCACAGCAGCCCTGAGCTCTTCAGCTCTTCTGCACCGTCCTCAGACTCTGCGCAGCCACAGCTTCCCCAGCTTTCTCACCCCCACCCTCCGAAGCTGGGAGGAGATGCTGCGGCAGCGCAGCTCATCGGGCCCAGCTACAGCGGCACAATAAACGTCTCCACCTCCCCAGACGTGAACCAGGGCTCTCTCATGAGCGGGCTCTCCGAGTGCAATCAGTTGTCCAGTAGCATGGGGAACGTCATGTCCTTCTCTGTGACTGTAACCACCATTCCCACCAGCCAAGCCATGAACTCTGGCAGCCACGGCCAGACCATCCCGGTTCAGGCCTTTGCTGAAGACAGCAGCATGGAGGACTCCCCTTCCAAGTGTTACTGCAGGTTGAAAGCCATGATCATGTGCAAGGGCTGCGGTGCCTTCTGCCATGATGACTGCATTGGCCCCTCTAAGCTCTGTGTCTCCTGCCTGGTTGTGCGGTAACTGGGACGTGACGTGGGAAGAGGAAGGCTCCGTGTTGGGTTTGCTTTTGGAAGTACATTGGGAAGAAACAGGAAATTTACTGCCTTGCACAAGAAACACGTTACTGAATCAGGAATACAGAGTAGAGTTCTTCTTTCATTAAAGAAAGAGCACCTTCTTGTACAGTGAGTCTAAATTGAGCTCAACTACGTGAATTGTGACAAGAGTTTGCACTTAAGGAATTATGTAAATATGTCACATTATTTTGTTTAAAAATATTTTTTCAATCTTTTAGGAGATAGCGTTTGACTTGTACTGCAGTTCCATTAACCCTAGCCTGCTATCCAGCGCGTTTGCTGAGCTCTGCTCTAGATGGGGTAACAGTCCCCCAACGAAACCTCAGCTGTTGGTCTTCTCTTGGCAAGGAGAGGAGCCAGGCAATCAAGGCACGAAATGTCTGTGCTGACAGAGCCCCGCAGCCCCTCAGCGGGCTGCTGAGTTGCTCTGAACTTCAGATTGATCAGAATTGGAAGCCGCTGACGTTCATCACCCATGGCATGGCCGTTCCCAGAAGGCCATGCTGGGTTGTGCAATATTGGCTGGTGGTTTTGATTGCATATCCTCTCCTCTCCAAGGAGTCAGTTGCAGTAACCTTATTTTAAGGGTGGTAATATCTTGGTTTGCTGCTGAAAAAGGCAACTCTACTAACCATAGGATACCAGAATTTAAATCACTAAACCAACTCAGTAACTGTGATGATCGGTCATCCCAGGAACCATTTAAAGCAGAGATCACAAAGATGTGCTGAACTGCATTTCATTTCCGGACTGTCAGGACTCAGCAGAAACCTGCTTTATTAGGCATTATTTCAAGTGAGCTGGAAGGTGCCATCCCCACCACTGAGAACCATCACAGCACATTATGCAAGTGAAGTGCACTAAATGTCACCCTCTGTCCTACTGTTTTCTAGGAAGCTTACTGTGGCTCATTAAAAACTCCACGTAGTCAGACTTCTCTCATTTCTATAGATTTTATATTAAGCTAAGAGTGGAAAACAAGCCTCTCGTTGGGCCTCACTGGTGTCTGGGCATCTCCATGTCTTTGAAAAACCAAATTGCCCCAACTGCTGGTTGCGCTCTGTTGTGGCCCAGCGCCGGTGTTCGCAATCCGTTCTTTCCAATCAATCCAAATTAACAGTTACAAACTGGTACTGTATGGTACTCAACAACTGCAATTTTCCACAGGCTGGCTGATAGAACATACTCCAGTCTGCATTGTGATGCAGTGCAACGAGCATGCATCGCATGGAGGAGCTGTAGGTTACTTCTCTTCCCAGAAAACGTCAGGTTCACATCTAGTCCCATGTTGTCACTGTTGGGGGAGGGAGGGGGGCCATACGAGATCTTGGTCAGGTAACAAATCCATGTATCTTTTTGATGGAAAAGCACTGAATTCACTTTGAATCCAAAGGCCTTTTTAAGATGAAGCAATATTAATGAAAGAGGTGACGGCTGTTTTATGAGCTGGGGTCCGAAAGCCTTTTTCCTTCTTTCCATTTGACTGCACTGCTGCTTTCCCCGTTTCCCACACGTGGGAGCACTGAGTGTTTCTGCAGGGAGAGTAATGATACAGAGAGTTGCAGGCTTAATCACTTGGCAGAGAAATGTTTCCTTCCCTGTCCAACAGAGCGTGGTATCCTCCAACGCAGGATCAGCACGTCCTGGGATTTGATTTGCTCACCATACATTGACTGGGGACCCCTGCTTTCTAACTCCACATCACTTCTTAGGCATCCAACAGTGGAAAGGATTTAACTATAGGAGTACAGCCAGGGTTGGTTTTTTTTGAAACCACTTAAATCTCAAAAAAAAACTAGCCCTGGTTGTTCTGTTGTGCTGCACAAGCGTTGGCCACGGCTGTAGCCCCATGGCTTTGGGAGCCCACCAGAGGGACGGCTGCTTCTCTGGGCTGGCTGCTATGGAAGCACTGACTTGGCCGCCTCGCTGCCCGCATCCCTCCTTCCTTTCCAGTGGGCATCTCTCCATCGTTGGAATTCGCAGGGCGCTGTGAAGGAGGTCCATGTGGCACCCGGGCAGAGTAGCATCTTCCCTTGCCTTGTTAACTCGAGCCCTGAAGGGAAGCATTACGGCCATGCGATCCTCCGTGAGACACATTAATTCCCTTCTAATGCGGATCCCCCAGCGTAACCCAGCCTGAAGGCTGTAGCTAGTTACAAAAGAAACTGAAAAAGTCACTTCTGCCTCAAATAAAAGCCAGGAGGTTTTGCTGGCGAAATGGGATCGATTCTGTTCATGCCTCAATGTTCATCAATAACTCTTCATAGCCAACAAGGCTGCTGCAGACAGGGAAGGGGAGGTGCTGAGGGAGCAGCACGCATTGCTGCCTTGTGTGAGCATCCACACGTTCTCAGCATTGCCTAAAGCCACCCCGACCCCCTCTGCAGCTCCAGCTCCTCGCTGCCTTTATGTTTGGCAGGAGTTCCTCTGCAGCACACAGTTGGGTTTCTGCAACACGTACAGCAATAGGAACCGAGTGGAGCTGGGCCAGGTTTGGGCACAGGGTGACCACTGGGATATGTGGGGCTGCCAGGCTGGATGGGAAAAGCAGGCATCTCATGCCACAACTTGGAAGTTTACAAGCATTCAGTGCCTTAGTTCTATTTTAACAGAGGAGTGCTTTTCCTGGGCTACTTCTGCTCTATTCCTTTTTCAGACAGTAAATTCTTTTCCCTGCTTGTCTTTGGTTTTACCATACGCTATGAGCTGCTAGGTGGAACCCGATGGAGTAACGTCTACAGGATTGCAGGAGGGCATGAAGTAGTCAGGAAGTGATTAGGAATAACAGAGCTCAGTATAATAACCAACAGAAGCACAGGTCTGCCTGAAGCCTTGAAAGCTTTGCATGTTTCACAGTGCTGGTTGTTGAATAACGTGATCTAGAAAGGGAACATCCTGCAGCCCGTGTAGCAGTGCTCCCTGCTGGCCTCACCTGTGTTAAACATAGTTTAAAACAACAGACTTTGGAGCCCAGATATTAAGTAATGGCATTCTGTAGGAAATGCCATCGTTTTGCTGGGCACGGTAATGATGAGGTGATGGTTGGATTTGATATCATAGAGGTCTTCTCCAACCTTAATGATTTTATGATTCTATAACAAATAAGATCTAATAGTAAATATTTTACCAAGTCTAACATCAGACTCTTTGTGGCAGTAGAAGCAGCTTAAGTAGGAAGAGAGGCTCAGGTTTATATTTTCCCTCTTGAGCAGCAATCCAAGTCCTGCAGCATGAGAACTAGAAATACAAACTGAGCAATGGAATTTAACCTTCCGGTGCAAAAAAGAACCCCGCCTTGTTCAAGCTGTTTTAATGGAGGAGTGAATGCAACTCCACAGATGAGCTAAGGCTGCGGGATACGGTTTGGTAGCACAGGGAAGGAAATTTGTGTGGAATTCTGATGCCCTTCTTAAATCAAAAGGAAAAGACCGAGGTGCTGAGCAGCTGCACGGTCAGTGGAGTTGTGTAGTGCACGGTGTTGGGTCACAGCTGGGAGGGGAGCCCTCAGGTTGGGACTGAGGGGGGACCTTCGTGTGCTGGGGCTGCGTCCTGCCCAGCGGGAGCTGCCACGGTCAGGCAGGGCGCTGGCTCTTCTGTGCCAACCATGCCCAGTCCAGCGCTGGTTTTTGAGCTGCAGATCGGCTCCTGCTGAAGGAAATTTGGGGTTTTGTTCAGGGAAGTGCCCAGAAGACCAGTGGTCGCTGTGTGTTGGCTGCTTGAAGCCCTGCGGAGGCTCCTGTCTTCTCCATGGGATGAGCTCAGCTGTCCAAAGCCCCCACCATGCAGTCATGGCTGAGTCAGCCCAGGAGCGTGCTGGGCTCTGCCCAGGGCTTTCAGCTTCCCAAATCCCACTGTGGCTGTGCAGGAGGCTGCAGGGAGTCCCTCCGTGGGGTTGCCAGTTCCATCGTTGTGGCAACGGAGTCCAACCAGGGGAGCATCTCAGGCGCGTGCTGCGATCACGACATCCGCAGTTCTGTTCCTTAACTGGGGTTGTTTGTTTGTTTTTTTTTTAATGCTATACATTTGATATAACTGAAGATCAATTTTAAGAGCTTACAGTAATATATTTTAAGTAATATATATTTTAGTATCTGTAAAAAAAAAAAAAAAGAAGATAAAAAAAAGACAAAGGATGATTTATGAACTAGATGAGCAGGGTATGGAGAGCGTGCAGTTTCTCAGCAAGGCCATGGAGTTTCACTGGCAGGAGAACTGGAAAGATTCCGTTTTGTCCATTGATGCAATAAATGTGGGAGTTCTTAGAGAAGAAATCCAATACTGTTTACCACGAGCTTTTCTGGTTTTGACAACAGGCCTGTAAACGCAGCTAGAAGATGCTGAACCTTTGTCTGTCTTTCGCCTTTTTAAAAGGGACTTAAATTGGAATAGAGGGTATGTACAGAAAAATCGAGTTGACACCATTTTAAAATGTATTTTTACACAAATAATATAGAAAAATCATATTTTACGTAAGAATTTTAAGTATTTGAAATATGTATATATATACTGTATGTACTTCATATATTCTTTATTTTACATTTACAGTGTATTAAAAAGTATTTGAGCTGGTTGGATTTGAGCATGTAATAATGTTAAAAGGGCAAAAAAGAAAAGAGGGAGGGAGGACACGAGGAGGGAGGCCGCAGGGAAAGCAGGAGTTCAGCACTGAAGGAGTCTGGAAGAGTTTTGCAGCTTCAGATGGAGCGTACAGAACCTTTTCATCCTGTGTCCTTTTGTGTTCCATCGGTGTCTGTTCCTTTTGCCTCACAGCCACCCAGCAGAACCCACGGTGAGGAGACAAGTTGAGGTGGATCCCTTCCATAAGCAGTGCTACCTTCGTAGCCAAAGAGACACACTGGTCCAGAAGCTGCTCAACCAAAAGAGAATCCGAAGCGGCTCAGTATTGCTGTGCCGTTGGAATGGTGATCAGTAGCTCAATTGCTGTGTGAGCACCTTAGGGTGCTGATGGGGAATTCAAACAACATACCAAAAACCCAACCATTTTGAGGGAGCACTGTCAAAGCAGATTGGTCTTGCTGTTTGTAGGAATTGGGGTGAAAGTCTCACTGTAGGGGACGATACATCCTTGCAGCTATTGGGAGCAGAGTGAATCCATTTGGCTGCACTGGAATCCTCAAGATGTCCCCAGATGGCAGAGGCCACTACTGCCCATGCCAGGCTGGATGTGGCTCTGTGCAGCCTGGTCTGGTGGTTGGCAGCCCTGCTCTTAACAAGGGGTTGAAACTCGATGATCACTGTGGTCCTTTTCAACCCAGGCCATTCTACAATTCTATGGTAAGATTCTGTGGGGCGTCCCCTAAGGCAGGGACAAGCAGGGCATTGCAGCGTGCTCTGCAGGCTGAGATCTGCAGCCCACACAGCTGCTGGCCCCAATGCTGCACACAAATTTGCCATGGAGATGAGGGTAGAAATGGCTCCCTGTCTTGTCCCATCTGTGCAATGCCCATTTGGGTTAGATGAACCTCCGGTGACATTTATACCACTCGTTCCTGCAACTCCTGTATATAAATTGGAGGTGATTAAAAGAAATCTCTGTTGCTGGGAGTTACAGCGAAGGTAAAAATGTGGGCAAAGAAGAATGATTGACAAGTCAGGTTTTAAAGTACAAATCTGAAAACTGAAAAGGTGGGCAACTGGTATTTTTATGCCACATCAGCAGTCATTGGAATCTCTTGGAAACAAGAGGATGGAACCCAGGATTTTGTCAAAAATTGCTGTCTGCACATTGGTGGGGTTTTCACTCTCAACAGCTGTACCCCACTGGTGGGTGTGCATGTAGGGGCTGTGCAGATGTGTATCTGTACAGGTGTGCACGGCTGCATTGGCCACGTGTATGTAGGAAGACCAGCTCCACCTCAGCCTTGTGCTGCCGTTACACCTTGGGACTTGAGATGGAATTAGGGCTGCTTTACATTTGTTTTCATATGTAAGATATATGGGGTAGACAAAATAAATACTAGTGGTGTATGTTTCGATCTGCTGCACTTTGACAAACAAACAACATTCCTTCTTCCCCTGGTACTGCTGCATCTCCCATTCCTCCCTACCCTGATTTCAACCTTACCCAGCCGGTCTCCTGTCCCGTTCGGTTAGCAGAGGCTGCACTGTGCATTGCTCAGGGCAGGGCTGTGCTCTTAGCCCACCTGTGGCTGTGATGTGGAAGGTGTTGTCCCATCGTCGGGAGCAGCAGGGACAGAGGTTCTGGGTACAATCCTTTATTGTGTGCCTGGAGGTGTGCAAGGGATGTGCCTGCCAGCAGTCACCCTCGCTGATGGCTGGCAGCTCCCTTCCTTTGCCCTAAATGTGTGCAGCCACGAGTCCTCACCCTGCTCCTGTCTGCTTGAAAAGTCCAATTTCAGTTACAAATCCGGCAATTGAGAGGAAAAAAAAAAGGGGGGGGGGGTTAAGTAATGTAAGCTGTAGGCATTTAAAACCGTGTGGGCCATTCCTGCAAAGGAGCAAGAAGGCAGGGACAGACGTGTCTGTCGTGCTGCAGCCGTGCCTCTTGGCCAACGGTGTTCCCTCAACACGTTGTCCCTCATTTTGCTGTGTAAGCTTCCACCGTAGCTTCTCAGCAGCATTAAGAGGGATCAGAGGAGTGCTAAGAACAGCCAGTTTCTAACCTGTCACTTGATCAGTGCCCACAGGAGGTAGCACTTGGACAAGCAAAAGCCTGCCCCATGGCTTCTGTCTGACTGCAGATTCCGTTCCTTTCCCTCTCACTTCTTTCTGTCGTGTAAAACTACCTGCTTTATAAATGAATGTAAAATTCCGTAGTTCTTCAGCACATGGGCAAATCTGTATTTTATCTTCATGTTTCATTTTATGTTAAATAAAAGGCGTATGGTTTTATGGCCATTAGTGCTGCTAATGTTGATTTTTCAGCGATTACCTTTTGTTGTTTCAAGGGACCCCCACGAACAGCAGTGAACTACGGTTCTTCAAACTGGAATCACTCAACAACTCAATGCAGTCAATGGGACTGAGGTGCCTGTGAATGCACAGGAAGCCTGGAACTGCTTCTCACTGAAATATTACAAGGCTAGATATCAGGATAAAGCCTTTTACGTGAGGATGGAGAGGCTCTGGAACAGAATACTTAATATTGTATTAATATTGACGCCCCATCCCTGGAGACTTTAAAGGCCAGGCTGGATCAGGTGTTGGGCAACCTGACCTAGCTGTGGTGTCCCTGTTCACTGCAGGGGAGATGGACTAGATGGCCTTCAGAGGTCCATTCCAACTCTTTAATTCTCTATGCAAGGCTCTGGAAGTTTTGAAGTAAGATCTACCAGGAGAGGAAGCAACACAATCTTGCCTAAGGTTTGTGCAGACTAATCCAGTGTAAGTAGTTTTCTGCTCAGAAAAAGTCAGGTGTCTCTTTAGTTATACAAATGGTGCAGGAAATTATGTGGAAAACTGGTAGCAAAGCTTGAGAAGATGAATATAAAATAAAGAACTGGTTTAAAGGGTCTTAATATGGATAGGCCAGAAGCAGGAAATCACTTTGGGTGGAGGATTCTACTGAAGTGTCTCAGTCCAGCCCTGAATCTCGAAGATTTTTATCAGTGATACCAGCAACAAAAGTCAGGAATATCCCAAGAAAATGGACTGATAACACAGATTTAGGAAACCTCAGCAATGTGCACACAGACAAAATTGGTAATCTGCAACTCAAAGTGAAGCCCAACTGCACACAAAGGTGTCTGGGGGCAACAACACAGCCTGCTGCTCCAGGAGTGGGTGCACAGTAATCGGAGCTGACGGGATGAGCAGGACCTTGACATACTAATTAATAACATCTTGTAATTATAAGCTGTCAGTGTGATTTAGCTATGGGGAAGGAAAAACAAAAAGTCCAGTTTGTGTATTGCCAGCAGAGAGAAAACCAGTGCATTGTCCAAGGCAACGAGGCACTTACTGTGTGCCTCTGCTCCCCTGCATTCACGAATGACTGCTTCAAACTGGAACAGATGTGCTAAAGGACTTCGAGGCGACCAGGAAAGGACAAATAAATCCCTGACAGGTAACAAAGAAGCCAAAAAGTGCAAGTTAAAGAACAGAAGTTACAAAGGGTATCGTGGTGCATCTCCACCAAAGCATTGGGCTTAGTGCTCTAGGGAGCATTGGATGGACCTGCTATCCTAAAGAAAAGACTTTTAGAGTCCAGGCATTTTTAATGAGCAATTTAAATTACTCTTTTCATTGACTTGTTTGCGTTACTGGTGATGTCACATCATCAGCACCACTCTTCCATCTGTTTTGTTCTAATCTTTAATGGTTGTATCTCATTATTACTGTACCATCTCAGTCCCACAGGGGTTGGAAGGGACCTTTAAGATCATAGAATGATAGAATGGCCTGGGTTGCAAAGGCCCACAATGCTCATCTAGTTTCAACCTCCTGCTGTGTGCAGGTCACCAACCAACAGCCCAGGCTGCCCAGAGCCACATCCAGCCTGGCCTTGAATGCCTGCAGGGATGGGGCATCACAGCCTCCTTGGGCATCATCCAGTTCCAACCCCCTGCTACAGGCAGGGACACCTCCCACTATACCAGGTTGCTTCTCAAACTTTGTCTTCTCTGCTTTACTTCATGTAATTAATTAGTTGTTGCATTTTTTTATTAAAAGAATAAATAAATCTATAAGCCTTTGTTAGCACCACTCAGAAAGGGAGGGGATGGACGCAACCCACAGTTAGGAAGCAGTGCAGCCCAAAATCTAAGTATCAAGGGTTGCTGCCCAGAGAGGCTGTGATGCCCCGTCCATCCCTGGAGGTGTTCAAGGCCAGGTTGGATGGGGCCCTGGGCAGCCTGGGCTGCTATGAAATGTGGAGGTTGGTGGCCGTGCTTGTGGCAGGGGGTTGGAGCTTCATGATCCTTGAGGTCCCTTCCAACCCTGGTGTAATTCTGTGAAAGGCTGTCCCTAGAAATGCTATTGCTCCTATCTGGTTATCAGCAACGAGTGCCCGTTTCCTAAGCAATCCATGCCTTCCTACATTGGTTTTCCATCAGCTCTCCATGCAACTCTTCAGAGTAATGAATCTGCTAAGTGCCCTGGGACGGAGCTGTACAGAGGCCATCCTGTTACATTTGAACATTTCATCTCTGTTTTAACTGAACGCTTTCAGTTTAATAATCATCATCTGGTTTGTTTTGTTCTCTGCCAATTTGCAAAAAAAAAAAAAAAAAACCAACCAAAAAAAACCCCAAAACTTGTGAGCGAAAGAAATGCTGCAGAATCAGTGTCTAAATATAGAGGAGAAGCACACCCATGGCTCAAGCAAGGTAATTATCTTGTCACACTAGAAAGGAATAAAAAGGAGGCTGTTCCTCTCTCCTGATCTCAGCTTCTGCTTTATCTCAGTTGCTGTGTTGGCTGTTAAGTGGGGATACGTGTGAGATGGAGGAGCAGCTCGGGACACACAGCTGGAGGTACATCTATCTACATGTACGTATGTATTCTCAACCTTACCTTTTGCTCGTGCTTCTTTTGGACTGATCTCATTACAGCCAAAGGAATTTAGACTCAGAGCCTTCAGACCTCTGAACACTGGGCACTGGGGTTGTGGGAGTTCAAGTGCGTGAATGCATAAATGCAGAAGTGCATTTGTTGTAGTGGTGAAGCATAGTTTTTTTTCCAAATGGTTTCACTGTTAACTCCACCTCAAGTTGACCAGAAAGACAATTTTCAGACCTGAAAAGCTGCAAATGAATTTTAAGCACACATTGCCCCGTCCTGGTTTTCTCTGGGGCAGTTAATCTTCTCCACCGAGGCTCTCGTGGTGCTGTGATTTTGTACCTCACCTTTCTGACAGCCAGCAGCTCCCATCTGTGCCTTATTTTGCACCGTTCCCCTTTGAGGAAAGGTTTTCCCCTGGAATGGCTCTGCTTGGAGTTTGCTGCCTCGGTGCTGGTGAGACCTCATGGCTGGTGGGCTGCTCCCTCTCCTGGGGTCTCTGTGGGTTAGGGTGGATGTCAGGGGAAGTTCTTTACAGAGAGAGTGGTGAGGTGCTGCAACAGCTGCCCAGAGAGGCTGTGATGCCCCGTCCATCCCTGGAGGTGTTCAAGGCCAGGTTGGATGGGGCAGCCCGGTTTGGTATTACATGTGGAGGTTGGTGGCCCTGCCACCAGGGCAGGGGCCGGAGCTTCATGATCCTCGAGGTCCCTTCCAGCTCCGCGCTGAGCTCAGCACATTGAAACCTCATCTTCAAGACCCCTCAGCGCCCTGACGAGCAGCGCTCACAGCTCACTGCGCCTGCGCCGCACAACGGGAGCGCGCGAAGCCTCGCCGGCTGTCGATTGGCTAGAGAGCACGAGCGCTCCCGAGGACGGAGAGCTCGTCTGATTGGCCGAGGGGCGGTGCGAATGCACGCACGTCCGCCGTCGGAGAAGAGTCCTCTCGACGATTGGCTGTGACGGCGAGGAGGCGGGGGGAGGCCGGAGGGCTCGCTCATCCATTGGCTCGCGGCGGCGGAGGGCGGGGTGGGATTGGCCGGAGGACGCGCGCCCCCGCGGAGGCGCCCGGCGATTGGCTGCGCGCCGCGAGGCGGCCGGGGACCGTTGGAGCGGGGACGCTGAGGCGGAGCGGCGGCCGCGGGCCGGGCGGAGCGGGGCGGCCATCCCGGGAGAGAGGTGCGCGGGCACAGCGGGGCCGCGGGCAGTCGCGGGACGATCCGGGTTCTCCGTCGGGTTCGGGCTGCGCAATTAGCGGGGCGTAATTGGAGCGGGAGGAGCTCACGGCGCTCTCGGAGCCGAGAAGCGGGGCGGGCGGCGCGGTGCTTGGCTGCTGATAGACGCGGCTCGTCCCGCGCTTCGTGCCGGGTTCGGGTGGCAGCGCCCGGCCTTTTGGCACCGCACCGGCGGCCCTTCGTGCACCACCTTGGAGCCCCTCCTCTTTGCGTGCGACGAGAAGTTGAGTTTGAGCCCGAGCAGAAGAGCCGTGTGGTTTTTCACGCAGCTTGATGGTGTTTAGTTTTGTTTTGTTTTTTGCCTCGCGTGGTTGTTTGTCTGTTTTTCAGGTTGTCCCTTCGATGTCGGCAGAATTTACTGAGGTGGGCGCTGCCCTGCGAGGCTCCGTGTGCCAGCCAGGTAATGCTGGGCTGGGTGTGCACGGCTGTGTCTGTGAGCTCATCCATAGCACAGCGCCCTTAGGGTTAGAAGGGACCCTTAAAGGTCCCGCTGAGCAGGGACACGCACAGCTCCATCAGCGCTCGGAGCCCACCCAGCCTGACCTTGGCTGTCTGCAGGGATGTCACCGTCTCTCTGTACAACCCAATGGATGTGGAGAGCCATGCTGCTGTGCTAATGTGCAGTGCTCCCTTTCTTCATTGATTGGTGAGCCCCAGATGGGCTGGGAGTCACTTTGCCAATGGTTTGTGTGCTGCTTGAGAACACTGACAGCAGCCAAGCCACTGCCGTGAGTTTGGTTAACAGCTGTGCAGTGCTGCCCTTTAAAAATGTTTTGTACTTTCAGTTTTCTTATTCGTGTTCCTGAAACTGAGCGTGCAGTGGGTCAGTTTCCTTGCTCTGCTTTAGGCTGCTGTGGCCGTCCAGGCAAAAAAAGTTCACATTCTCATTTCCACATTGGGAAATTTGAGAAATGTTGGCTTGAAAAATTACTCGGGTTGGTTTTTTTTCCTCCTGTCTTTCCTTGGTTTGCTTTTCCTTGGTTAATATATGTGGTGCTCTACTGCAGTGTGATATTATGAAGTAATATTTGGGCACCTCGACATTAATGTGCTGGAGCAGATTCAAAGAAGGGCAGCAAGGCTTGTGAAGAACTTGGAGAATATGGCCTACGAGGAGAGACTGAAGGAGCTGAGGCTGTTCAGTCTAGGGAAAAGGAGGCTGAGGGGAGACCTGATTGCTCTCTTCCAGTATCTGAAAGGTGCTTACAGCAGAGCGGGGCTGGTCTCTTCTCACTGGTGACAGGATGAGGGGAAATGGCCTCAAGTTGTGCCAGGGTCAGTTTAGGTTGGATATCAGGAAACACTTCTTTACAGAAAGGGCTGTTAAGCACTGCAATAGGCTGCCCAGGAAGGTGGTTGAGTCACATCCCTGGATGTGTTTAAAATCCATTTGTTTGTGGTGCTCAGGGACGTGATTGAGCAGATGGTTGTTGGACTTGGGTAGTATGGTTGGGTTGTGGTTGGACTTGATGATCTTTAAGGTCTTTTCCAACCTGAGCGATTCTATGATTCTATAAAGTGCACTCAAAGGAATGAAGGTAACCCAGAAGCATCTGTTTGAGGCCGTTGCTTTCTGTGTTTCCAAAGGATACTTTAGATTAGTGCAGAGTTTGGGTAAAAGGGTGTTACTGACCAGTAGCTAGTGAAGATGGAAAGCATTAACCACTGTAGGGCAGTAACAGCAGTAATCTCTCATCAGAACAAGTACTGTTAGTGAGGCTGGCTGTGGTCTGTGCTGCACTTTCTCCAAAGGTATTTGCCAGATTGCCCAATTCACCTTGTGATTCCAGTGTCATTCTTCTGTGCCTTGCAGTCCTGCTGTGCTTTCCTCTGCAGCTCCCAGAGGTAGTGTCCCAGGCTGCTTTTGCCTTGACTGTACCATCCTGTTGCTTAAATCTTACTTGGGATTCTGCTGCTTTTCTTGCAGAGGGTTCTTGTCTTCATTTTGCAGATCTGTGAGAGCCCTATGAGCCCCCAGCCTGACTTGCTCATTACAGTCCTGTGTTGTTGGGAATGCAGATGCTGTGGTAGCAGGAGACGCTCAGGATAGCCCCCAGCTCCTGCTTCCTTGCAGCAGGCTGCTGCTCCTCTTGCAGGCAGTTTGGAAGGGCAAACTTCTGCTGTCTGTGAGCTTTCTCATTCATCACGTTATTTATCAGTACTAACATGAATAACAACGGTGAACGGTATAGAAAACTTACCTAGAAGCTGTGATGCAAAAAGAAGGGCTTTTGTGGCATCACTGGTAAAACACAGGCGTTTTCAGTCAGCCTATATACACTGTGCACTCAGTACCACAGGGTGGCATTAAGAGTGGCAGCTTCCAATTCCTCGTAATCAGGATCCTTCAGGGAGGAGCTTCGTGCTTCCACTCATCTGCTAGCTGCTCTTCTTACAAGCTTTTTATTTCTCAAAGAAGGCTCTTTGCGTATCATTTCCCTTTAAAACTCCTTTTAAAAGGGAAGGGAACTCCCTTAGCACAGCTGTGGGCAGTCTGTAGGGTCGATGCTGCCATTGCAGTTGCACAACAGTTTGTTGTGTTAGGTAGAAGAGTTTTCCAGTTGGCAGAGTTCTCAGAGTTGCCCCCTGAGCACAGCTTGCTTCTCTTAGCATTATCACTGCTGCTTTTAACTTTGTGCTTTCAGGATTATTTGGTGATAAGGACTCAAATTTGTAACGCTTATGCTGAGTTATATTTTATGGTTTTTCTCTCAGTGCCAAAGAGAAATCGTGATTGTAAGGTGTACATTTGGTTTAGTGTTTAAATAGGTTCCTACTGATAACCTGTGGCTAGGCTTAGCTTCGTGGCTCTCTTGCAGTCATGTGGGCTTTCAAGGCTCACCGAAAGGAATGGAAGTGTTTGAACCTCTCAGCTGTGCTAAAGCAATGCACATATGTAATAAAATGTGCCAATGAACCTTATAGGTAAACTTAATTTGGAAGATACAGGAAGGGGCTTTGTGATGTGCTATCTGTTGGGGAGCTTTTGCTGGCCAACTTATGTATTTAAAAATGAATGGAGTTGCAATCAATACCCACTTGTATCTCAGTTTTTAATAGTTTTGAGTATATAAAGTAGGTATTATTAAACACTTAAAAAGTTATTAAAGGAAAACATTTTTGTTCTTGGTCCCTGTGCCCAACTTTTGTGCATCCTTCCCTTTTTGAAGGGTGCTTATAAACAGGAAGGGGAACGGTTGTTTATGAGGGTGAATAGTGATAGGACAAGGGGGAATGGTTTTAAAGTGAGACAGGGGGGTTTAGGTTGGATCTTAGGAGGAAGTTTTTCCCCCAGAGGGTGGTGAGGCACTGGAACAGGTTGCCCAAGGAGGCTGTGGATGCCCCATCCCTGCAGGCATTCAAGGCCAGGCTGGATGTGGCTCTGGGCAGCCTGGGCTGCTGGTTGGCGACCTGCACACAGCAGGGGAGTTGAAACGAGATCATCATTGTGGTCCTTTTGAACCCTGGCCATTCTGTGATTCTTCCCCTAACTTCTGATTAGGGGAGCTGATCTGACTGTATGCTGTGTACTGAAGCACGCAGTGCTGTCCTTAATAGCTTGTGGGTTTCCTGTTCGGCATGCTTAACATTTCCCTCTCTTCTGAAACTCTGTATGCAGATGTGCATCCCTGATGTATCAAGTGGTGCCATTCCCTTACAGCTTACTTATCTTCTATGACTTCGAGAACATCAGCTGCAGAGCTTCTCTGTCGCTCTGTGTCACTGCCTTTCCCTGCTCTGGCATTGCCCCAACAGATCCTGAGGGCACAGATTTGTTGCTGTTCCAGGCAGTGCGCAAATAGTTACAGTGCAGGCACTGAAACATTGCTGTGCTGAAGTGTTGTAGCCATCCAGGTAGACTGGAGATGGACCTGAGTGTAGATGGAGTGGGGCAGTGGGCCTGTCTTAGCGCTGCTTTTGGTTCCAAACTGCTTGATTGCCCATTAACTGAAGGGAAAGATACTGTATCTTATCTGTGTGCTTTGTGCTCAGTCTTCTTTAGAAGCAGCTCCTGAATCACTGTATTCAAGTAAAATTAACAAACACACACAGGGGAAAGAGTGATCTCTGAATGAGTGGTCAGGCACTGGAGTGGGCTGCTCAGGGAGGTGGTGGAGTCACCGAGCCTGGAGGTGTTCAAGGAGCGTTTGGACGTTGTGTTGAGGGACATGGTTTAGTGAGAGCAGTTGGTGATGGGTGGATGGTTGGACAGGATGATCTTGTAGGTCGTTTCCACCTTTTCCAACCTTGGTGACTCTCTGATTCTGCTCTTCTCAACTGCTATCCCTTATGGCTTGTGAAGATCTTAAGCAAGCATTTGAGCTTTGTTGGGGATCCGTGGTACCAGGACGTGTGTGTGGTTCTTCATGGATGCTCTGTTCGTTGATGTAGATTTTGAGGTAACATATCAAAGTGTTCTTAATACTTCCGTGCACCGTTATTTATGCGTTAATGAATTCCATTCAGGGTTGGGAACTGAGTTTGAAATTGTAGTTGAACTAGAAGAATGATCAGAAGTGTGTAAAATATGCTTTAAAGAAGGTGATGGGGGTCTGTTAGCGTGAGTGGCTGTTCTTTTTCTCTCCTTGAGTTTCCATTGAATGGTTTGGGTTGGAAGGGACCTTAAACCTGTTAAATACGTGCCCCTGAAATAACTTCTAGAGCTCTTCTTTTTTTCCTGGTAAGATGTATGGTGAAGTAAATAATCATAATATGAATCATAGAATGGCCTGGGTTGCAAAGGCCCACAGTGCTCATCCAGTTCCAACCCCCTGCTGTGTGCAGGTCACCAACCAGCAGCCCAGGCTGCCCAGAGCCACATCCAGCCTGGCCTTGAATGCCTGCAGGGATGGGGCATCACAGCCTCCTTGGGCAACCTGTGCCCAGCTTTTTGGGGAGGGCTTTTAGGGGAGGACTTTTGATCTCTTACACGCATTCGTGTTTGACTGCTGATGAGAGGGAGATCAGAGTTTGAACCATATGAGAATGGGAAGTGAAGAGAGGAGCAAGGAAGTGGGACAGCAGCATTATCACGTTTAAGATAAGACTTTAAGATCCAGAGCCACATCCAATTTAAGACTTTTAAGATAAAATAAACTGTTGAAAATCACTGACATGGAATGAAAATGGGAACCGTGGAAGTTTAGAAGCTGAAATAAATGAACACGAGGATGCTAAGCAAACTTAAATTTAATCTTTCATAAATGAACTTGTATTTGTGTTCTGGGTAGCTGATGGGGCTGAAGCATTTGGTCATAAACAGTGCCTGATAGTGGTTATCAGATCTTCAAGTTATCAGAGCTTCCTTTGGAGGGTGTCACGGGTGGAATTGCAAAATAAAAACAAATGGAGTATCTAAAAACCAACCCCAAAACAAGGGGAAAAAAGCAACGCATCCCTTCAGTAGCTCAGAAGCTGATTTATTTAGTCCCTAAATTAAAGTAATTAGGAAGCAGTGAGGCAACAGCTGAAGTTGCAGATACAGAACCAGGATGACAGCATTTCAGGCTGTGATTTATTACATGGCAGGAGATGCCCGTGGTGATGCTTGGGGAAGAACAGATGGTGTGATTTGGGACGGTGGCCGTGGTTGGGTCGGGAGCAAGGGCTGTGGCATTAGCTGAGTTGGCTCCATGGTCAGGCTCCTCCCACTGATAGAAACACAGAATCATAGACTGGCCTGGGTTGCAAAGGATCACAATGCTCATCCAGTTCCAACCCCCTGCTGTGTGCAGGTCACCAACCAGCAGCCCAGGCTGCCCAGAGCCACATCCAGCCTGGCCTTGAATGCCTGCAGGGATGGGGCATCCATAGAAAAGGCAATGCCATTTGTCTGGGCCGTTACCTACAGCTGATGAGCTCCAAGAAGAGCGAAACCTTGTAATATAGGTCCTGTAGTATTGGCCTGATGAGGTCCTTCTGTGCTTGAGCTGTGAGTGATCAAGAAGCACTGTGGTGCCATCACTGGCTGAGCCCATTGCAGCACGTCTAGGGGAGGAAAGCATTCTGGCTGTACCTTTTATTATGTCATTAGTTTTTTATCCAACCAGGCTTAAATAATGCTTGTATGTATTGTGGGCACGGGAGAGAATTTTCAAAGGTAAGGAAAAAGGGAGAAATGTGAAGAGCTGAATTATTCCATAGAATGTGGGAATGCTCCTTCCATCGCAGTATAAAATATAGCTTATATATATATATGTATATAAAGTAAAAATAATTGTCACTATTGTATCTCTTAGCATGCTTGACTTTAAGATGTGTAGAGCACAGTCAGCATCAATACCTCTGCTGGCTTCTCTGCTGGGTGGAAGGTGAACTCTTTGACAGCAATGTATTCATCTTACTGATCTCATATCTGCCTCCTTGAACAAAGTTACTGCATCTTGACATAAAGCAGAGCTGTACTGTGTTGAACCAGCACCATTCTTACGCTAAAGTCAGCACTGCTCTGCTGCTGCAGGGAGAATATTCTCTAGTTCATTGAGTTGGACTTGAATAGAGCACCTGCACGGCAAGAACCAATATGAAGACCAAAATGTGCAGAACGTCTTTGAGCTTGCAGCTTTCCATGCAGAGCAGAATCCTTGAAACTCTGGGAGCTGCCCAGCCAGAAGGATTGGCTGCAGATTCAACTGCATTTGATCGTAAAAGCCTTTAAGGAAAAAAATACATTGGATTGAACCTCATAGAATCCTTAAGATTGGAAGGGATCTCTGGAGGCCATCTAGTCTAACTTCCTCGTCGTCCTTTTTGCTAAGTGAAGCAGGAGCTATCATAATGCAAGTGTCCCCTCCAGATTGCTACAGGTAACAGAGCAGCTTGTTGAGGAGGAAATGCCAATGGAAGCTGTCCAGGATTTACTGTCCCATCACCATCACCTAGCAGGGTGGGTTATGTTGTCATACTGCTTTTCTGCTTTAAGGGAAAAGGGAACGTTTTGCAAGAACAGCTAAAGCGGATGCTCGTTGTGCAGCACATCTGGGTGTGAAATTCAGATCTTTATCACCTTTTAGGTTTTCCATGATGTTTAAAAGGCTGATGGCAGTGTAGGTGGTTTGTGTCCAAGCACGTTTCTGCAAACGCTGACATTTCAGCCTTTGGTTGAATTGAGTGTTATTTAAACTCATGAAATTAAGGCCTGTGTTGCTCTTTGTTCACCCATAGTGTAAGTTCTGAAAACTTGCTGGTCTCACTTAGCACCTGAAGCCATTTGCAGACCTCCAATTTCCTTTTTGTTTCATTTGTGTCTTCAGTATTTACTGTGGCCAGGACTTCTGTGTCTTTTTAGTAGCAAGAGGAAAAAATGAAACAGGTTTGTTTTATACAATAGGATAAAGATCTTTAATTGGGAAAGCATTGGGGCAGGGAAAGGGAAAGCAACACAAAACCAGACTAAATACGTTGTCTCACTGCAAAGCACACATCAGTATAGAGCAGAGATAAGAAAATGATCTCTTTACTGTACGAGTGAGGTTACATTCTTGGGCAGAAGTGAAATACAGCAGAGGGCTTAGAAATCAGCTCCTGGTGGTCCTTAGCAGGTTTCCTAGTCATACAGAGGAGCCGAATCGAAGACGGGACTCAGTGCTTCAGTTTTAACCCAGGCTTTTAAAGTGAAATTCAGCTTTTCAGGATAACGCGCTTAAAAATGTTCTTAATGTGTGATCTGTAACATTTGCAGGGTTTTGGCTTCTAGCTTTATGCAGATAGCAAGAAGCATTGCTTGTTTCAGTCGCTGGTTTTCAAGAGGTTGAAGTATCTTTCCTCTGCTTGCAATTGAGGCTTTGCTGTAAGTCCCTTCTAGGGACCCGGCTGTTTGTGGTTCTGCTGAGGCTCACAGTTCCTTCTGTACCTCTTTGTTCCAGCTTTACAAACAGGGTTTGTTGGTTGTTTTTTATTTTGGTGAGCGAGTGCAGGAGATGTAGCACAGAGGAACATTTTAAAGTGAACATGGTGGGCATGGGTTGACCATTGGACTTGATGATCTTGGAGGTCTTTTCAACTTGTTTGGTTCTGTGGTTGTTGAGCTCTTCACCTGCTGAATGTTTCAAGTGTTATGCTCCCTTGTGAAAGAGAGAAGATTATTTCTTCTTATTCATTATAGAAAATCATTCAGGTTGGAAAAGACCTCTAAGATCCCCAAGTCCAACCCATCCCACCGTGCCCACTGCCACGGTTCTGGAACACCTCCAGGTTTGGTGACCCCACCACCTCCCTGGGCAGCTGTGCCACTGCAGCACTGCTCTTTTGGAGAAGAAACGTTTCCTAATAACGAACCTGAACCTTCCCTGGCACAAGGTCCTGAGTTTCGATTGATCAGGCTGCATTCATGTGTTTCTGTTCTTATAGTGTGGAGAGGCTGGCTCGCGTACTCAGATCTCAGTTCAAGAGTGTCACTGAGCAGATGGATCACTCGTTGCTTGCACAGAGTACAGAGAGTAGTGGTAGATGCCCTAGAAGCCTGTACTGTGGTCAGCCTCAGCCTACTGGCTGTGAATTCTGTGATGGTGTTCTATAGCACTGGTAGATGAACGGCCTCTAAAAATCTCAAATCCTGGTACAAGCAAAATGATGAAGCCTCTATAGGGGAAGGGGCTGATGTCAGGGTGATATAATGACTTTGAATGTTCTGCATTGCAGCTTTAGGTTGGATGTTAGGGGGAGTTCTTTCCAGAGAGTGGTGAGGTGCTGGAACAGCTGCCCAGAGAGGCTGTGATGCCCCGTCCATCCCTGGAGGTGTTCAAGGCCAGGTTGGATGGGGCCCTGGGCAGCCTGGGCTGCTATGAAATGTGGAGGTTGGTGGCCCTGCGTGTGGCAGGGGGTTGGAGCTTCATGATCCTTGAGGTCCCTTCCAACCCAGGCCATTCTGTGATTCTGTGCAGCTGTGACATGAGGACCGGTCCCAGCACTGCAGGAAACTGCAGATGGGAGCAGGTTGTTGGGAGCTGGGAGGAGGGACATGTGCTCAAAGCCCAAGGCCAGCAGTTGTCCTGTCAGCCTGGTGGGTCTCTGTGTTGCAGAAAATGCAGTGGTATCGTGCCTTGTGTCTTGATAAAATGGTGTCTATTAAAGCTATTTAGAAGACCAAGTAATTAACCCAACCCATGGGGTCCATCTGTTGTGGAATTTAGAGAGGTGCTGGCATTTGAAATAAAGCTGCTGGCTGGTAGAGCAGCTGGCATTCTTCAAGATGGCATGCCTATGGAGATAAAGGGAATGTTAGCACTGAAAAATAGCTCCTAAGCTTGGGGCAGCGTTTGAGGATAGCAAGAAGGACGTTGGTTCCAAGTCTACGATTGTCTGAAGTAGGAAACAAAGTGTATTTCCAGATAGAACCATGCAGTTATTTTCGTTTTATGAACTGCTCAGTTTAAAGGTCTTGGTGGCTTCCAGGATGAATGCATGTTGGGTTCTTTATCAGAGAATAATTAACAGAGAGTGGAGGACTGCTGAGGGATGCTGTTAATCAGAGCACATGTTAAGTGCCAAGACACAGCTTCTTTTTCTTGGGTGACATTTAAGCCTAATGAAATCTGTCTTGCCATTGTGCTGCGTGACGATGAGCCGGCCAGCTCCCTTGGAGTTGGTTTCTGATGAAGTGTAGAATGATTGTTAGGTATTTTCTTGTTGTTTTGTTGTTTGTTGGTTGGTTTCATTGTTTAAGTCGTTTAAAAAACATGTTTAATTAGTTGGTGAATAACAACAGAATAATACAACTTTACACTGATGTTGAATTTAGTTGCTTATTGTTGTGCTGCGGTCAATGGAGATTCAGTAGTTGTCCTTTGAGACTCCCTTATGAAGTAAGCTATAGAAAGTACTGCATTGTCCTGTGGCTCCTCAGCTCAGGATATGAGTCCCACTATTTCTATGCCACTTCTTTCATTGTTTCCCTAAGACAAAAAGGGCAGTTTGTTTCAAAGTTGGGTGATATTCTTACAACTTTTGTTTCAAGACAACTCCTTGCTTCACCCCAACATCGTGCTTGTAAGGATCTCTGAGTTTTACAAACATAAGCTTAGAAACTGAAATGTCAGAATTACTGTTTCCTATAGTATCACAGCTTGAAGAGGCATTGCACTGTCTCTGCTATGGAATGCTGTAGATATGAGGAAATGCCTGTTTTTCTCTACTCTTAATCACAAAATATCCCAAATTGGAAGGGACCCATAAGGTTCATCGAGTCCAACTCTTGGCTCTTCTTTTCATTTTCCAAATCTAACCAAACTATTTTGGTTGATGAATATAATGATATTGTTCACGTTAAGTTGCTCTTGTAACAGGAATTCTGGCGCAGACACTCATTGCCATTTTTGTCTTCAGAATGATTGAGGAGAGTGGGAAGAGGAGGAGGACAATGGCGGAGAAGAGACAGCTGTTCATGGAAATGAGTAAGTAGGAGAATGGAAGGTAACATCATTTATTCTTTACACAGAGCTTTGTTTTTAGGATTTCACCCAATCATTTACATCTGGTTTCCTCAAGACCATTGCCTGAGCTGGTGAAAAGCATCCTGGGTGCTGGTCAGGAGGAGAGTGCAGGAGATGGGTAACAGTGCCTGAGGAGCCGTGCAGTGCTACACTTCTACACTTTGCCAAGCTCCTTTTAAAAGGAGCATTCATGTTTCCCATATATTGGGACTTCTGAAGTTTGTAGACAGCTTGTAAAATAAATAAAGTCGGAAAGGGCGTATTTCACCTTAAGGTGCATCGTGATGCCCAAAGAGAGCCTGTAATTGTTAGTATAAATCAAGTGCCTGTCTGGAGGTAATCTCATTTAAAGAATGACACATGGCCTTTTAAAAAGATGTGAGCAGTTAGAAATAAAAGATTGTGTGTGTGTGTGTGTTTGTGTGTGTTTGCATGTCTTCGTGTTACTTTACTTTCCTACTAAAACACAGGACTGAATGAAACTCCTTGCGTTAGGCCAGCACATCCTATAATCCAGAATTTAGGTTGGTGAATGCCTTTCTTAAACAGATAATATACCAGTGCTAATGTTTTGCTGGAGGATTTCCAGAGCATCATTCTGAGTGTGGTTATAAGCATCTTGTCATTTCAAGAACGGTTTCGTTCCTGGCCAATTTATAACTGCTCCCTTTCATGTGAGAGCTGTCTGGGTTGTATTCCTCCCTGCCCTCCAGCTTGGTTTATGTCTGAGGTTATAGTGAGATCCCTTTCTGTGTGCTCAGCACATGGCACAAGCCAACACCTGCACTCTCCAGCCTACACACCTCATCTCTTTCTGTGCCTCTGCTCTGCTTAAGCAAAGGTGGTTGCACTGGCGCATGAAATCCCAAATTGAATCTCGTTTGGATCTTGTGAAATGACAGTAGTGCTTCTCCATTAGAAGAGCTTTGTCTGATACATCAGAGTACTACACGTGTCTTGTATCTCCAGTAATCACCTGGTGATCATTTGGTACAGCTAGGCTTCTACAGGTAACTGGCATCTCATCAGTAACTGTGTGCAACCATACAGTTTCTCTTCAGTATCAATTTGATGAAGATTCTCAGAGTCACTTAATTCCTGCTTTAGTGCTCTAATTACCTTGCATATTGGTGATACCTTTAAAGCTACTTTAGCAAAAGATTTCTTCTGAAGCACGCATGTTTGATTATAGTGTTGTCTTCAAAGAGATCTGCTGGCAGTATTTGAATCTGCCACCCAAGGCAAGGGGAGCAGGAATCTACTTGCTTGTTTTTAGTTTTGGCTAAATTGCTAAAAAATACTTGCAATTCCTCTAATTATCTAACAGAATAGATAATTCTTCCATCATCTGGTTATAGAAGGTGTTCTATTGGGTTTTGCAGCTGTGGTTCATGGTGGTTTTTTTTCAGTGGAAGTACTGGTGTGTGGACTCCTTGAGCTGCTTTTCTCTCGAAGGCACTCTTAACACGTTGGTTGGCAGATTGAAGGTGTTCATCTGTCTCGAGAAAGACAGCATGTTTCCTTGTGAAGATGAATGCAGAGGTGTTCTTTCTAGGAGATCTTCATACCCAGATGTTCACTGGCATTTAGAGGATTCCTCTTAGGAGGCAGAAGTAGATTTTATGACTTTCATCCACACTGAACACACCACCCGAGGGTGTATTTGTAGATTTTGTATTATTTGTGGAGCTAGCAAGAAATCTGTGTAAGCTGTTCTAATTTCCTGACCTGCAGAATATATAAAGTCATAGAATCATTCAGGTTGGAGAAGACCTCTAAGATCACCCAGTCCAACCCCAGCCCACCCCACCATGCCCACTGCCCGCATCCCTCACTGCCACAACCCCATGTTCCTTGAACACCTCCAGGGATGCTGACCCCACCACCTCCCTGAGCAATTGTTTGAGTTGGAAGGGACCTTTAAAGGCCATTTGTTCCAACTCCCCTGCAGTGAACAGGGACACTTACGGCTTGATTGGGTGCTAAGAGCCCTGTTATAGGATGGCCTGGGTTGCAAAGGCCCACAGTGCTCTTCCAGTTCCAACCCCCTGCTGTGTGCAGGTCACCAACCAGCAGCCCAGGCTGCCCAGAGCCACATCCAGCCTGGCCCTGAATGCCTGCAGGGATGGGGCATCCACAGCCTCCTTGGGCAACCTGTTGCAGTGCTTCACCACGCTTAACATAAGAAAAGCTTTTTCCCTGTATCGATGCAAAATATCTCCTCTTTTAACTGGGAACCATTTCTCATTGTCTATCACAACCGACCCTGCTAAAGAGGTCTAAAAATGAGGTGCAGTGGCTGGTCCTTGGCTAGCCATACAAAAGGTTCTGATTGACAAAGTTTGAGAAGACTTATCATCTGTTCGAGTTGTTTTTCATGTGTTGGAAGGTAGACCTAAGCACTGTAATGGAGAATTTTGAAAGAATATTGCATAAAAAGCACAGAATGAGTTATTTTAGTCCAGCCTTGGATCTGAATACTTCAGCTTACATTATTTGTCCAGCTCATAAATCATTGAAGGGCTTGGATTGGAAGGGACTCAAGGATCACCTAGTTCCAACTTCCTGCCACAGGTAGGGTTGCCAACTGCTAAATCAGATACTTAATCTGAGATAAGTTTTCTAAAGATGGTACTGAGAAATAACATAGGAATGCTTGCTGTACCACACTGCCCAGCAGAATGCTCCCCAGGTTGGCTCATCTGGTGCCACTCCTGGGTGAGCTTTGGGGAGCTTCTCATTGGAGCCGAGGTCAGTGCTCTCACTGCTCTTAGGAAATGCTTTTCACCTCATGTTCTCTGGTTTCAAGACAGCCTACAGGTCTGTGTCAGTCTTAGCAAATGACGGCGTTATATTTGCAAATCTCTTACAAAACACCCAAAAGACAAAAAGACCAAACCGATCTGCCCGTCTCCTGTACTGATCAAATAAGGTGGCTTTTGAAATTTGCAGTTGTGAGTTGGTGAGCGAGGACTCAAAGGTTTGCAGATTGGTTTCTGAATTCAGAATGCTGCAGGAGGAAAAAAGTTATCACCTTTGAGCATGACCCCGATACAGCAGCCACGTGCCTTCTTCAGGAGGATGTGGGTTTGTTGCTTGTGGGGTTGTTTTTTGGTGTGTGTGCTTTTTTAGAGGTCTGCATTCTTTGAGTCAGTTTTCCCTGTTCCTCAGTCCGGTCTTCATGGAGGCAGTGACATTGCAGAAGTCTGAAAGATTGCACAGATGTTACTTTTGTGCACTCCTGTGAGAACATGGGAGGTGCAGGATCCATGTGCACCCACTGCTGTGCAGCCAGATTGTTCACACTCCTCCTTAGAACTCCACTGATTACAGCCACAAGTGCTGTTGAAATGTGAGCCAGTTAAGACATTTCTGGTTATGATTAATGAAATTTGCAAGGCCTGGACCAGTTGTTGGCTTCTTCCAGATCTGAAATGATCGATACCGGACTTAAGAGCGGTGTCATGTATCATCCCCACATCATTTATCATCTCATCTGATCAGCCCAGGAGATGCTCAGATCTGTTTGGCCTTTGGCAGAGGATTAATACAAGTTTCAGGGATTGCCCAGGTTTGTAATGTTCAAAGTAATTGCAGTGCTGGCAGGAGCTGGTGGATGTGGTGCAGACGGGTGACAGATAACAGCGTTTACATGATGTGGGATTGGTTGAAGGTACAATAAAAGTTTTAAGCATCTTGAAGTGGGAGGTGTTGGTGAGGTTGGGCTTCTCTCCTCTGTACTTTTTCTTCTGCTTTTTACCTGGTGTAGATCTGCTTGGGAGAAGGAAAGCATGCTCCTGGGGGGGGATTGGTGGGGGTAGCAGTGCAGACTGTGGTAGGAGCATCACCCTCCTTTTTTTCTGTCTTTTGTGCACCCACCACCCAACAGCAGCGAGCTCCTCTTTGTACACACTTGCAACTCAATCCAATTCTTGTTTCCATTTTGGGATTTCAGAGTTCTCATGTCAGTCTGACGCTTCCATCAGTCTGTAATACACTGCTCCCATTTCCTCATCTTGGTCATTGTCCCATAACAGGGATGATGCGTGTGAAGAAACAGTCAGCATCACTTGTGAAGTAAACAAATAAGCTGAGTGTCGTAGGGGCAAGAAAAAACACAAACTTCTTTTTTATTCACAGGAGCCCAGAACTTTGATGTCATCAGACTTTCAACGTATCGGACAGCCTGCAAGCTGCGCTTTGTGCAGAAGCGATGTAACCGTAAGTTGTAATCACTCTTTGTCAATTTCTCATGCAAATATTCTACCCATGTGAATTTTAAATATAGCAGGAATAATCAACAATAATAAACAATACTTAAAATTAAGGATCATTAAAGGGGCAGTGATTTTTGACCGGTATTTATAGTGTCTTCAGTTTTAGTTTCTAATGCTTAAAGGAAAACCTGAAGTACCTGGGCCAGACTGACATACTTCAGTGCAGCCAGCCCCGGACTGTTTTGTCTCCTTTCCACCATGGTGGAACAGAAGCCAGCAGACAGCTGGATGCAGCTGTGAGCTTGGTGATGATCACCAGCACAGAGGTGTCTGCATTTCACAGAATCACAGAATTGCAGGGGTTGGAAGGGACCTCCAGAGATCATCGAGTCCAACCCCCCTGCCAAAGCAGGTTCCCTACAGCAGGTCGCACAGGTCGGCATCCAGGCAGGTCTTGAACATCTCCAGAGAAGGAGATTCCACCACCTCCCTGGGCAGCCTGTTCCAGTGGAACACCATCATGGCGTATATATAGCAACCACAGAGAGCACTTGAAGTTTATGCCACGCTACTCACTGTATGTTTTCTTATTCTCTTCCATTGCCTTCCATGTTAAATAGTTCATCAAAGTAAGGATGAACCCAAGGGTTCTGTTTCCTTTATTAAACTGGACCAAACAAAATGCTTGGTAGACTATTGGAGCAGCTGCCTCCTACCAGTGATGAAACTGGTGTGGGAGAGAACAGGAGAGCAGCTGAGGAGTCCTGCAGATGTTTGCAGATGCAAACTGCAGCTCCACACGTTCTTCATGCCTTAGGAAAAGTGGTATGCTTTTCCTAAATGAAAAACACTAACCATGCTTTTGAATTAAAAAGGTCTCTTAATCAGTAGCAAGGTATCAAGATCTGCTAATTATAGTGCCATACACACTTGGGGCCTAACTCACCGGTGCCATACATATGCCTTGAGTAACCTTTCATTTACATATATGCATAAACCAGAGTGCTCTTGTGATCTTTGTCTGCACCAGGCGGTGATCCAGGGTGTGTGTTTGGTGTGAATTGGTGGTTTGGACCAATGGATTCCTGCTGGTCCTCAGATGTCTTACCCACTGCCCTGCATGCTTTTCAAACAATGAAACATTGTCAAACATTGTTTAATGCGGTTCTACAGATCACTTAGTGTGGTTATGGCACACTTTCACTGCGTTGTTAACAGTTAGATACCTGAACAGATAGAGTGGGATAATTTAGGGACAGTTTGGAGTTCAAGACGTATGTTTATGAAGTATTTTTCTCTTGGCACCAGCTGGAAGCAGTCACAGTTTAACTGGAACATCAAGTTCCTTTTCTAGCACTGAGCTTTTAGTTAGTACAGGGATGTTCAACATTACAAACTGGTTACTGTAGTGGATGTTGAATGTGGCTGATGTCTTTCTCAGAAGAAAATACATAATTTGGCTACAGCACTAGGTGATGGTGGAGGAGCACGTTTCTCCTTTATGTGGCTTTGCTCTCCTTTGAGGGGCAGAATAAAAGGCCCACGGGGACTCAGGGCACTGCTGTTGCTTTCGAGTAGCTGGTGTGAGCTGAGTATGAGTATCAAGACTCCGTTTCTCACTTTGAAGATGAGTAAGTAGTGGTTGACTCCAAAATAAAAACTAGTGTCATATTCGGATGTAATGCCTTAGATGTAAGATTGTGTGCATTACAGAATAGAAGTGAATTTATTTTTTTTTCCCTTTATTTTTAGTTCATCTTGTTGATATCTGGAATATGATTGAAGCCTTCCGAGATAATGGCCTTAACACTTTGGATCATAACACAGAGATCAACGTGTCTCGACTAGAAACAATCATTTCATCCATCTACTACCAGCTCAACAAACGCCTTCCTTCTACTCACCAAATCAGTGTAGAGCAATCCATCAGCCTTCTCCTCAACTTCATGATAGCAGCGTATGACAGGCTAGTAACTCTTCTAGCTGTACTCCTAAACTACTTTTCTCTTTCAGTTAGGTGAATGCCGCCAGCAACTGCATGAGTCTCTGGCAAAGTGTCTGCATGCCATTTCTCATTTTGTGGAATTGTGTGTTGCACAAACACTTCATATCATGGTAGTGCCTGCAGAGATTTACAGATCTACACTGCCACAGCAGCAAAGCTTTTTGTTAAAAATTGCTTTCTTGAGAAAGGTGAGCGAATGCCTTCTGGAAATTGCAGCCTGCTGTGAGCTGCGTGTCTGAACTGAAGTGTTCTGCAGGCTGTGATAGGGCATAATGTTAAACTCGTGATGCTGTAGCAATGTTTTAAAAAGTGAAAGGTTTTTTTGTTGACTCTTGATCAATGAGACCGTTTTACAAGGCTGCCTTGTTTCAATGTTCAGCTCGGATTGTATTATAACACACTGTGACCACATAAAGTCTAATTCTCATTTGTTGACTGGGAGAAGTTTGTTTTCCTGTTCAGAATACTGCCAGGCACTCCCTTGGGTCCGGCTTTAATAAGTTTCCCTCACAGCCTCTTTCATCAGGGGTTAATCTGCTGATCTCAAGTAAAGTTACCTCTGGGTTCTCTGAGTAGTAAATGGAAATCTTTCTCTGTTGTTAATGAGTTCTTTTTTCTTATCTTTCTCACAGTCAGTTGTTATCTGTTTTGTTTCTTCTGCTTTTGCCTTCTCTCTGAGCAGCAGAAAACTGCCTGTGGCCAGGATGTTGACACAGAGATGAAGGAGTTTTACCTACAGCAGCCGGGACCACTATGCCAAATAGTTGTTGTGCCTGTAATGTCCAAGTTTTAATCATTCTTAATTCCTCTTCTTAAGGTCACCAAAGAGCAGCTAGAATTATCCTCCCTAAAGGTCCAGAACAATCCCAGTCTCACTCAGGACAGTTAAAAACAGTGCAGGGCTCATAGTGGCAATACTGCTATGACATCAGAATCAAACCTTTATATTTTTCTGTTTAGTGTGATATGATATTGATTGTGAGAGTTGTTGTAAAGGGTAACCGATGAGTTTCCTTGTTCTGAGTCAGGTCACACTAGAAAATGTAGAATTTAAAATAGATGTGGTTATGTTCTGGGGGACTGGCTCAAAAGGTTGAGGCTTTAGTTAGAGATGTTTGTCTCCCTCTGCCCCAGACCTGCAAATTCCACCTCTTGTCTGCAGCACAAGCAGCCTGCTTGCTCCCAGCACAACACAGCAGTTTCTGTTGAGCTTCCTCTATCTGTCACATGGTGTTGAGAGAGAAGCTGTGATGCTGCACTGTGTTGTGCCACGGGAAAGCCAAGAATGAGAGGAGAGCTAGGCTCACACTCAGCTCATCCCTGAGACTTGTAGAATAGCACTGGTTGTGGTGCACAACTGGTGGTTCATACAGTGTACAGTAGTGAGTTGGGAGTAGGAGTAGCTGTGTTATGATATTCTTTGCTGCTCTCTCCCATGAAGCTCTGCCTGTGGGTGTTTGGCAGTGGTGGTGGCTCATTCCAGAGCCTGTATTTCTTGGTAGCCTTCTCCAGCTTTCTGAAATCCCTGACCCACGATTGGTACCACACAATGATGGTCCATTCTTTCTGATTTCACCTTTTCTAGAAATGCATTTGATTTAGCAACAGGTTTAGTTGCTTCAACTTCCTTTTTTGTTTTCATATTGTAATAGCAGCACGCAGTAAGGAGGAGGGAGAGGATGACCAGCAGTCATGTGAGGAGATGAGCTGGCAAGCAGTGTGATCAGGAAAGACCCTATAGTTGGCAAAGCTGGAAGGAGCTCTCGGAGTATTGGGAAGTGCCCACAGAGCAGCACTATGAGGAAAGCTGTGATGGCTTTTTTGGGAAATTGATATGACCTGGTCTGGTATTAAACATGGAGGCTGGCAGCCCTGTCTGTGGCAGGGCGGTTGGAGCTTGATGATCCTTGAGGTCTTGTCCAACCCAAGCCATTCTATGGTTCTATAACTGAGTGTCTTTGTGAACTAACCGCCTCATACTGCATACAGAATGGGGAATAAGAAGGAGGAGTTGCAGGTCTGAAATCATAGAATAGCCTGTGTTTGAATGGACCCCCAATGATCATAGAGTCCAACTCCTGGCTCTGCACAGGATCACCCAAACCCTATGGCTGAGAACAGTGTCCAAGCACTCCTTGAGCACTCCTTGAGTAGTACTGCCTTTGCCCTGCTGGTCACACTCTGTGCAATGCACCCCAGAGTCCCATTGGTCTTCTTGGCCATTAGGGCATGCATCTGGCTCCTAGTCAACTTTTGGTCAACTGTTGGCCTACTGTTGGTCAACCAGAACCCTGTTGGCCTTTGTGGCCACAAGGGCGCGCTGCTGGCTCATGATCACCTTATTGGCCATCAGCACATCCAGGTCCTTCTCTGTCCACAGGCTCCATCTGTTTTAAACAAGTCCCACAGACTTATTCCTATCCTTCAAACTCATGAGTGTCACAGAAGTTTCAAAATTGTACCGAAAGTTCTGTCCTTTTTCCTTTTGGTAGGGAATTCAGCAGATGGAGTCACGTGGGACCAAAAATCAATGTAGATGTTGGCAATTTGCTTAACTATACCTCTGCACCAGATTGCAGGGGCAGGACTTTTTAATTTTATTTTCTTGATTAATAAACAGAATGTCAGCAGAAGCAGACCTATATCTGAAGGCACTATGAGATATCTTTCAAGGATAAGATTGTACCATGTGAGGAGACATGGATGGTTCCAGACACTTGTTCTTTCTTTCAATTAATTAAAAAATAATTCAGAGCCGAGAGAAGAATGGCTGTAACAGAGCAAATGGAAAGAAAGGTTGAGACTCTGCTTTAAAGAAGCTTGAAATAGTTATTGAGATTTGCTGAGACAAGCAGAGACCAAGGTTTGAAGAGAATGGATCTTTTCAGACTTCAGATTTCAGATGCAGTAAAGTCTTTCTTGTTGGGTTTTGGGTGTTGTTATTTCTGTGGTTTGGTGGTTTGGCATAGCAGGAGTGCCAACTTTTTCCTTTGAGGAAACTAAAAGACAGAAATGAAGTAGGATAACTGCTATCTTTACTGTTTTGTTAACTTTATAGCCTTTATACAGCTTAAAATAAAAATTTTGTCACTATTTTGGTGCCGCGAGGCAGAATTACTTTCAGTGGTTTTACTCCTTCCTAGCATTTTCCAAGTACTGGTCCTCCAGTATGGCACAGTGAATGTTCTCTGCCTTCTATCTTTATTGCTATGGAAGCTCATCCAGAAATTGGGAATCAGGGAGGCACAGTGTGTGCCTTTGACCAGGCTGGTGCAACTGGAATCTGTTGCCAGTATTTACTGCAGTGTGTTTCACTCAGCCTATCTTGGCCTGGTGACTTGCTTCCACCTAATTTCATCCTCTTCTGGTAACAGGGGTAACACACCTTGCTGTTTCTGCATACCATCGTGTGCTCAGTGTGCTTTCTCATGCTTTCCACGTGGGCAGGTTCGTTTTCTCTTGCCGATGTTAGACAACAATTCCCCATACATGCCATCAGTTTCAACTGTAATAAAAGACTGCTCATGTTATTCCTGTTCTGTGTGGTATATTCAGGATATTAGCACTGGTATAATGTTACAGTAAGTAGCTGTGCTCGATCTGAGTTGTTAACAGTTATGTATTCCCTACCTACAACCTCAGTGTTTGTGTTCCTTCTCACTCTACAGCAATTACTCACCATGTACTTTTTTCCACAGCGAGGGCCATGGGAAGCTGACGGTGTTTTCAGTGAAAGCGATGTTAGCAACAATGTGTGGTGGCAAAATACTGGACAAACTAAGATGTAAGTATTTCCAATCAAAATCACAACAATTTTTGTCCTTCTTTTTATTTTGTTTGTGTGGTGAATGGGCAGCGTTGTCACATTCATGGTTTTTTTGTAACACATGCCATCTGCTGGTCACACAACAAACGTACCAAGTGTGTTATGAACAGCTTTTCTGAGTCCATGTGTTTATTTTAAAATCTTTGGCACTTACATGTAATTCTTCCATCCTTCTCAGTGGCAAGCCATAGTGTGGTTTATGGGATTTTCTTTCCTTTTCTGTCCTGAAAAGATTGGAAGCAGGTCTTACTGCTAGTGCCAGATTTTGCTGTTCTGATGTCATCGGTTTTCATCTCCCCCCTAAATTCCCTTTATGAAAGTTATTTTGTGATAATTCATTCCTTCTGACCTCTGTGATTATTATTCACCCTAAATAATTCTTTTCACTTTTCCACAGCATTAAACTTCTAAAACGTGTTTTCTTTCAAAATGATACAAAATACCAGTGTGATCTATTAAACTACACAAACTTGGATCCCATTACCTCAGGGTTTTAAGAGGTTACAATAGATAAACAGTTTGATATAAACCTGGTACAGAAAAGGGGATCTATTTTTATGCATAAGTAGGACCACACCGAAACATGTCAAGCAAATGGTAAAAGGGCAGTTAACCATGGAATTAGATGGTAAAGGAATTGATGCTTTCAAACAAAGCCCAGACACCGTCCTGGAGGTTATGCTAGGCTACCAAGTGCTGAGTCAGAAGTGGCTGATTAAGATGTCTTCACCTGAAAGACACCTTATTTAATCGTCCTGCTTCACAAATGTGTCTTAAAACTTGATAGTTGTGCATTTCATGTTCTCTTCTCCACCCCAGCTTTTTTCCTAGCATACAAAACTTTCTTTTTGCTAATCATGTTGAGTCCTTTTTCCTTTAATATGGTAATTTTCTTTATGAAAATTCTTAACTGAGGTTCAGCTGAGGTTGAAGGAAGGGTTTTTGACTACTCTCACTGAATGCTGCTTTTTTATATCCTGGTTGTCATGTCTTTCCTTCTTTCTTGCACTTTATCAGCTGCCTTCCAATTTATATTGTACTGCTGGGATCTGTCCTCCAGTATCTGCACTCCCTGTTTTCTCTATGCACTATCTGCATAGAATCACAGAATGGCCTGGGTTGCAAAGGCCCACAGTGCTCATCCAGTTCCAACCCCCTGCTGTGTGCAGGGTCACCAACCAGCAGCCCAGGCTGCCCAGAGCCACATCCAGCCTGGCCTTGAATGCCTGCAGGGATGGGGCATCCACAGCCTCCTTGGGCAACCTGTTCCAGTGGCTTGAGCAAACACGGTTGGATAATTCCATGGTTGGAAATGGAGCTTTGTTTTCCAGAGAGCATGTGACCTCCATATTTGACATGTGTTCTGGGAAGCAGCACTTCTGCCTTCTTAAATTCAGCTTTAAACTCAGTTTCTTTCCTTATCCTTCTTGGTATATCACTAACGCTGTTTCCACCATGATTTTGGCTGCTTTTGATGGTGATGGCAGTACTAACTGTTGACCATTTGAAATCTCTGTAAAATGCTATCAGCCAACTGTGAGAAATGAATTTCTTTTATCCAGGAATTCAGAAAGAGGAGCAGAGCAAACCTTTGCTGGAAGGAATAGTTTTCGTTTCAACCAGGCAGTTCTCTAATGGGTTGATTGGTGGACTAATGGGTTGGTGGTTGGACTAGGTGATCTTAGTAATTTTTTTCTACCTTAGTGATGCTGTGATTTTAAAATCAGGCCATTGGCTTTTCAGACATGATAATGGGTCAACTTTTTTTGTGGAAGATGAGAGAAACTCGGAAGGGTGTGATGCAGGATAGCATGATCTTGTAAAGTTTCTTATGGAAGGAGAAAGGAAGTATTACTGCTACTGGAAAAAGATGAGTAGAGCTAGAATGCAAATCATAGTGTAGCTGAATTACTGTTGGTTACTTTTGTGAAAAACTTCTGAGGACCAAGGGAGGAGGTAAAAGAAAATGTACTGAAGTTTAGAAAGGGCCATATGGAGAACTCTGTCTCTGTCTCTCTCTCTCTTCTTTCTTGTTGCAAAAGACCTTAAAGATCATCAAGTCCAATTGCAACCTAACCATACTACCCTAACTAACAACCCTCTGCTAAATCATGTCCCCAAAACACATCCAGGGATGTGACTCAACCACCTTCCTGGGCAGCCTATTGCAGTGCTTAACAGCCCTTTCTGTAAAGAAGTGTTTCCTGATATCCAGCCTAAACCTTCCAGCACAACTTGAGGCCATTTCCTCTCATCCAGTCATCTGTCACCAGTGAGAAGACCAACCCTGCTTTCACTGTAAGCACCTTTCACCTGTAGGCCCGATGCACTTCTGGGCAAACTGGTAGTAATGAAGAATAGAATTAGTTGATTAATGGGTAAATAATTTCTTGGGCAGGGAGGAGGAATGGCTTTTGGAAGGAATGTCTTACAAAACTGTAGGAGTTCCTTAAAGTAGGGCAAAAAAAGTAGAAAAATGCAAAGGATTTCTGACCAACACAGAATTCTGGAGTTTCTAAGAGGGCTTCAAGTATCTTATGAAACAGATAAAAACATTAAAGTCTGAAAGGGATGAAAGGAAGATCTTTTCTATGTGTAAGACATTAGCTGAAGGGAGCCCAAAAAAGAGCAGTAAAAAGGTGGGTGAATAATGCTGGACTTGAGCTGTTTTTAACGTGTCATAAATGATCTGGAAAAATAGAATGGAAGATGGCAGTCTTTTATAAAGTAAATTGGTGCAGTAAAAGCCAAAATAGACTGTGAAGAGTTGTAGCATCATCTGGCAGTGCTGAGTAACTGTGAATGAAATGGTAGCTGAAGTTCAGTGTGAATTTATGTGCAGTGCTGTGTGCTGGAGGAGTGAGGTGTCATCCTAATGTCAGGCACAGAAAGGTGAGCTCAGGAAGTTGTTAGTGCTAAGACAGATCTTAGAGTTTCTCCTGGAGGATTGATGCTCTATCTAGTAGTAGTTAAAGTAGTGAAGTGTTGTGACCAAGAGGGAAGGACGTAAAGAACAAAACAGGAAGACTAAGGCATTGCATAAATCCATGGTATGTTTGTGCTTAGTATGAGCGCTGCTGTGGTACCTTGCACTCACTCTGCCTTTTCAGATCTGCTTCATCTTTCCTGAGAAGAACAGCAGTCACCAAAGTCAGAACAAACTTTCTGTACAAGGAGCAACTAGATGTAGAGCAGGAATCTTCAACCTGGATGGAAAGCAAAATGGTGGTGAAGGGACAGCGTTGTGTAAAATCATGAACAGCGTGTTTGTGCTGAATAGAAAACAGCTGCTCCGTTCCCCCTCCGAGACGAGGACTGAAGGCACTAAGTGAGCAGGCTGCCAGCTCAGCTGGACCGTGAGGCTTTGTGGAAATCCAGGAAGCTGTAAATATTTCTTTTTCTCATCTCAGAATTTGAGTTACAGTCACTTGGTCTCTGTATTTGCAGATACTTGCAGGCTTTCTTTCTTTCTTTCTTTTCGTTTTTTTTTTTCTAGACTGCACAGAGTCTGACAGTACATATGAATGGAGTTGTTCAATGATGCCACTTTGCTTTCAGTGGGAAAGATTATTTCCAGTGGCTGACACTCCTTGTGAAGGAGTTGCTTTACATGAAGTGCAAAGAAGGAGTTATAAGCTCAGCCTGTTGCTATGGGCTTAGCTTTTAGCATCACATTTTTTAAGCTAGAGAAATACCATATAAATATGATGAAGTCTGTGGATTTGAGTGACCTCATTTTGGCATTCAAGCAGATCCATAGTGAAGTAATTAGTGTTTCCTTCCATGTCCTTTCTGCAAGTAAATTGCAAACAGAACCTGACTTCAAACAAATTCCAACCTTGCTCATTTTAAGGGCCTGTATCCCAGTAGGATCAAAATGGACCCATGGAACAGTAGGACCAGAGAGCACCCACATGGACAGCACTGTGACCTGGGTTTGTTCCCCTCTCTGGATGACCATGATGAAGGCCTGTTAGTGGATATACCTGTGCCATATGGATGCCTGCAGTGAATGGCCATAGTCTATCCTGTGTCTGTTCTCTTACATTCTCTGGTGCACAGTCTGCACCAGCCAGACTTATGGCCTCTCCAATGCTAAGTTCTCAAATGCAAATCACTACATCTTCCTCAAAAAGCACCTTCCTCTGTGTCCTTCACAGCCTCCTTGTAGGTTTTGGGATACTGTTATTATGTCTTCCCAATATTTCAGTCTTTTTCAGAGTGAACAAGTGCTGTTTCCTCAGCCTGTCCTCACAGGATAAGTGCTCCAACCTGCTGGGCATCCTTGTAGCCCTCTACACTTCAGTATGTCCTTCACCTTCTGTGGTTCTCAGATATTCTGTGATTCTGTTGGTCTCAAAGCTGGACACAATGCCTGGAGGAGGTGTAACAAGTTTTGAGGGGTGGAAAAGAATCACTTCCCTCAATAGAGGGTGAGTTCCTGCTCATGCAGCTCAAGATGCTGTTGACCTTCCTTGCTGCTGTGCCATGCTGCTGGCTCATCTTCAACTTGGGACCCCACATTTCCCAAGGACATTTCCTGCAGATCTGTGCCAGCCAGCCAGTCCCCAGCCAGCATCGCATGCATTTTGGAATGTGCATTTGTCCTTTTTTTGTTTCATACAGTTCCTTTTGACCCATTTCTCCAGCTTGCCTGGGTCTCACTGGATGACAGCCCTTGCTTTTGGGGCTATCATAGAATTTCATGGAATCAGTAAGGTTGGAAAAGGCCTCTAAAATCACCAAGTCCATCCCTAACCCACCTCCAGCACACTCAATGACCATGTCCCTCAGTGCCACATCTCTGTGATTCTTGAATGCTTCTGGAGATGGTGACTCCACCGCCTGCCTGGGCAGCCTGTTCCAAAGCTTGACCTTTCCTTCAGAGAATGAATTTTTTCTAATATCCCAACTGAACTTCCCCTGCTGCAACTTGAGGCCATCACCTCTCATCCCATCACTGTGATCTGGGAGCAGAGGCCAACTCCCACCTCACCACAACCTCCTGTCAGGAGCTACAGAGAGCAGTGAGGTCTCCCCTGAGCCTCCTCTGCTCCAGGCTGACCCATCCCAGCTCCCTCAGCCACTCCTCATGACTCTTGTGTTCCAGATCCTTCACAGCTTCAGTTGCCTTTCTGTGGACGTGCTCCAGTGCCTCACTGTCTTTCTCATAGCGAGGAGCCCGAAACTGAGCACAGTACTTGAGGAGTGGTCTCACCAGAGCTGAGTACAGAGGGACAGTCAGCTCCCTGTGCTGCTGACTGCAATATTTCTGACACAAGCCAGGATGCCCTTAGTCTTTATGGCCACTTGGGCACCTGGAGCTCTCCAGCTTTGTACCTGCAAACCTGAGGACAGTGTACCCTGCTCTTCACTAGCAGAGATGTTGAGCAGGACAGAGCCCAGCACCAGTCCCCTTCTTGTTTATACCAGTCCCCTTGTTCTTGGCCCCCATGCAGCGTGACCCATTATCTACTGTCCTCTAAGACCAATCATCCAACTTGCTCCTTACCCACCTGCTTTTTCACCCCTTCAAGCTGTGATGTCCCAGTTTGAATGCTGGAAGAGCAAGCTGTGCTGGTCAGATGGGGTTTCTCCTTAGCAGATCCCTACCAACTGCTCCAGTCAAATTTGGGTGCTCAGAAATGTACTCCAAAAGAATTTTCTCCATTATTTTCCCAGGATCCAAACTGGGGCTGACTGGCTTGTATTTCCTAGGTTTGCTCTTTTTGCTTGATAATGTATTTTAGATTAAGACCAGGGAAAATCCCCTAAGAAGCACAAATTAATTTGTGTCTGTTACAGATTTATTTTCTTGGCTTTTAAACTAGTATTCATTAGTTTTTAAGAAATGTTATTCAAATTTGTACAATTAAATTTGTCGACTTTGAGGGAATTGAGGCACAGGAAAGTCTCCCAATCCACTCCTTAAAAAATGAGGGTGCCAGGGGTTTTGGTCTGTTTGGTTTTTTCCTTTGTTTTTAACTCATGCAGGGAAGTGGTTGGGTCTTCAGCTGAAACTGTAAAGCATCAGGCAAATGCCCAGTAGAAAATGCAGGCTGGTGGATTCTGGCAAAGATACAATCAGTTGAATGAAGGCTCTCAATGGAAATACTGGAAAGTTTTATTTGATGATCAGAGGGCTGGAGCAGCTCTCCTGTGAGGAAAAGCTGAGGGAACTGGGCTTGTTCAGCTTGGAGAAGAGAAGGATCCAGGGAGACCTCATTGTGGCCTTCCAATACTTGAAGGGAGCATAGAAACAGGAGGGGGAACGGCTGTTTGTGAGGGTGGATGGTGATAGGACAAGGGGGAATGGTTTTAAACTGAGACAGGGGGGTTTAGGTTGGATGTTAGGAGGAAGTTTTTCCCCCAGAGGGTGGTGAGGCACTGGCACAGGTTGCCCAAGGAGGCTGTGGATGCCCCATCCCTGCAGGCATTCAAGGCCAGGCTGGATGTGGCTCTGGGCAGCCTGGGCTGCTGGTTGGTGACCTGCACACAGCAGGGGGTTGGAACTGGATGAGCACTGTGGGCCTTTGCAACCCAGGCCATTTGGTGATTCTGTGATATGATAGGAGCTTTGTTCACAGTGCTCATCAAGTTCTACTCCATTTTACATTGGTATCTTTGGGATTGAGCAGGGGTTTTTTTTGTGTTCATTTTTTATTTTCTCTAGTAAAAAAAAAAAAGAAGGCACAGAAACATGTTTATAGTGTGGTTGCACTGAACTGAATCTTAGATGAGAATTAAAGTATAATACATTGTCATAGGGAAACTTAATTAGCACATACGTGATGTGACCTTAAGGTGGGATCTTGAGAAATTACACTGTTAGCTCCTGTTTAGCTTGAGGTTTTCTCTTTTCAGGTAACTTAGTGCCCTTTGGAAGGGAAGATGACTATTTAATTAAATCCTATGAATCTTTATCTTTTCCAATTTCAACCTCTAATTTCCCCTGTGAAAGTTTCCCCACGTAGATGACTTCAACTTCATTTTGACTACAAAACCACTTGGGTTTCTTTTAATTTATTCTTGATCTAGCTTGTTCATTTTTATCTCATTTTTCATTTCTTTCATAGCTTTAATTACCTTCTCCTTAAAATCGTTTAAATCCTGCATGCTGATGAAATTAGATTAATAGATTGTATTTACCCAAATGGTTCTTGTACTTTTTTTAAATACAAGTACTGTCATGATGCAATCATGTTCTACCAGTCCCTCCTTAATAGACTGATTATTGGACCAAGTTCGTGTGCCGGTTCTGGGGCGAATCTGATATTCAGCATTTTAGGATTGTGAAGGTTTTGCTCTCTAATTAGTTCCAGTTATTTCCATCACTTCTCTTCCGTGTTAAATTTTCCACTGAAATTTGATTTTTCTGCTTGGATGAGTTCTTTAAAATATAGCATTCTTTCATCACTTAGTTTCTCCCTTTCTTGTTTCTTTTTTTTTTTCTTCTTCTTTTTCCAGTCCTTATTTCTTATATGCCTTGTAAGACTGTTTAGCAAGGACTTCAGACCTTCCCATCAAGCCTGTACATTTTGCCTGATACAAACCGCAGGCAGTTGTATCACAGAGTCATTCAGGTTGGAAAAGACCTCCAAGATCCCCAAGCCCAACCCATCCCACATGCCTGCTGACCACCTCCCTCAGTGCCACATCTCCAAATCACATCTCCAGGGATGGTGATTCCATCACTTCCCAGGGCAGCCTATCCCAATACTTGGCCACTCTTCAGAGAGAAGACTTTTCCTAGTATCCAGCCCTCAGCTCAAGCACTGTAGGCTTCTTCATGAGCTCATTCATTCATTTTAGTTCACTGGAAATACACCTTTCTGAAATAGTGTTTTTTACAGACATGGCTTTGATCACTTAAACTAAGCTTACTTTCTGTCAGCACATCCTTTTTGATGTTTAGTTACTTATGGTGTCTTAGGTAGCCTCATAGATGATTCAGAGGCTGCTTAGTGAAGCATTCTGGTATCTGTCTTGTCTTCAAACATTTTAGGTCTTACTAATATTAGAGAAGTCTTTCTTTATAGTGTAACCTGACTGCAGTCATAGCAGAGACCAAGCTTTACTGTTCAAGAATGTGTATTTTCCAGAGAGGCTTTTGCCCCCTGGACAGTTCTGCTCTGAGTGCAGCAGTCATAGCACCTCCCATGACATCCTTTTCTTCCAACCCTCTCTGTCCATCTTTTCCTATATTTTTACTTTTGCTGAGACACAGAGCTCTGGGTTAGCAGCGTGGGATGGGTGGGCAGAGGGGCTGGAGAGGCTAAGAAATCATAGAATTAAGGTTGGAACAGACAGCTATGATCACCACGTCCAGCCACCAACCCATCCCATCCTGCCCCCTACCCATGTCCCTCAGTGCCTCGATGTCTTTATTCTCATTGCTTTTTGATATGGGATGGAGGGGTTTATGTCACAGCACATTGAAACGTGGTCATGCATAAATTCTATCTTGATATCAACTAAAAAGAAATTGTGTTTAGAATTAAACAACAGGAGTAGTGCTTTGGAGTTTAAATGAACTGAAATTATTAGGCTTTTCTTTTCTGTAGCAAGCGTGTATTTACCCAAATGTTTTATTGTATTTTCTTACAGATATTTTCTCTCAAATATCAGACTCAAATGGACTGATGATATTTTCCAAGTTTGATCAGTTTTTGAAAGAAGTCCTAAAACTTCCAACTGCTGTGTTTGAGGGACCTTCTTTTGGATACACAGAGCATTCTGTACGGACGTGCTTCCCACAGCAAGTAAGAGTTTAATTCAGAACTGTTTCATTTCTTGTTACTGCAGTCCTGTAGTCCTGGCTTCTTTGGTCATAGCTTGTGGTTTGCAGGAAGGGAGGATTTGGTGACATACAATGTGTTATCTAAGCAGATTTAAGCCTGAATAATTTAAAATAGTCCACCTAGGTCTTATGGAATCAAAGGATTTTGCACACTTTTAGTTTGTTCTCCTCTAAGGAGTACCTTTGAACACATGGGAAGAACATCAAGGGTAACCTGTTATTGTCTGAAACAGGAAGTGCAGCATTTCTACCTTGGAGTTTTTTTAGGCTTACTAGTAGTAAGAGTATTATTTTGAACAAATCAATTGTTAGTTGGCTTAGTCTGCACAAAATAAATGCATTTTGTGTAATTTTTGGAATAGATATTGCAGAAGCTTCTGCAGTATCAATGTTTCTGTTATGATTTGATTGTTCTGAGAAATTGCTTTTAATTTGAGATGTACAATAGCATAATTAAGCCTTAATTCTACTATAAGCATAAGCCTAGATAAAGCTAGACCTAAACTTAAATGTTTCGTCTCTGATTGTGACTATATTCTAAATATTTCTCAAAGTGTTCAGATTTAGAATTTGTAGTCACTTTTGCTGAATTTATGTTGATCAGGAGATCATATATTTGAAATAGAACACAAAAGGAAAGGAAACAACAAGAGCTCCTGCTCACCTGTAAGTTACTGAGGGCAGAGAATTGTCTCACAGCTGATGTTTCTGTCGGTAATTGCTGAGGCATTTATTGGTTATCCCTCATTCTCAACATACCACCCTTTTTCTCAGGCTGTGCAAGCCACTCCTGCGTGTAGGGATACTGCATTTAAGGGGCAAACCATGGACTCATTTGAGAGTTACCAAGTCATACATCAGATTCTAAGCTGTAAATGCTCTGTCTGCAAAGAGAGATGCGAGACTTGCCTGACATTTGTCATGGTTGCTACCCAACCAACCTGGTGTCCTTTTATGATGACATAACTGTATCAGTGGACAAGGGAAGAGCCACTGACGTTGTCTATCTGGACTTCAGTGAGGGCACTGGCGCAGTCCCCACAAAATCCCACTCTCCAAAAGGGAAAGATATGAATTTGATGGGTAGCCTGTTCAATGGATGAGGAACTGGATGTGAGATCGTTCCCAGAAAGCGGTGGTCAATGGCTCCACATCCAGATAGAGATGAGTGATGAGTGGTGCCCCTCGGGGGTCAGCACTGGGACTGGTGCTCTTTGATGTCCTCATCAATGACATCAATAGTGGGATTTTGTGCATCCTCAGCAGTTTACGGATGACACCAAGCTGTGGGGTGCAGCTGACAAACCCAAGGGACAGGATGCTGCCCCTCTGCTCTGTGCTGCTGTGAGGCCTCACCTGCAGCACTGCATCCAGGTGTGGAGTCCTCAGTACAGGAGAGACGTGGAGCTGTTGGAGTGCATCTTCACGTTATCTTCTGCAACCTTCCTCAGGCAGGGTGATTACATGGGAACTGTTTATTGAAAGTGATTCCTAGCTGATGTTAACATTTTATCTGGATGCTGAAATCATTTGGGAGACTGAATGGTTACAGTGGGCACAGTTACAATAATGTAAATCCATGCATTATTGAGCTTAGGGCCAGGAGCACTGCCCTGTGTTACTCAAACCCCACAGGGTCACAGATGGAGTAATTCAGTCTTGCTGTCCACAGGGAATAGATTTTATTGGGACACTTCAGCAAGAGCTGCATTCTTTACAATGGTTTCCAAATTCATATAGAGCTTCCAGCCATGATTTACTATTCAAGGCCAAATGGGTGCTGTCACAGATAGGAGATCATGTCATACTTTCCTTCAAGCTTCTGTTCACCTGGCTGTGATGCCTGTGTTTCTCATAAGGATATTGTATTACCCATTTCAGAAAACACCAAGGGAGCAAATGCTGGGAGGTGTTTGACCCTCCTGACTGGCTGTGCTGTGAAAATTTGAACTTTCAGTTTGTGTTCTTTGGGTTGGGTTCCTACTGACGGGTGATCTGATTGTGTTGCATCACAAATGCTGGGTGAGTGAGGCTTTTGTGTTTGCTTCATGGTAAGGCTCTGAGCCCAGCTCCAAAAAAGCCACTTTTGAGTCTCCTTCCCCGCATTCTAGCTTCAGGAGCAGGAATTGCCAGGAATGCTTGCAGTGGCATCAAAACTGTGTGCTTTTGTTAAGTTGGTGCTTGCAGCATTTCCCACCTGTATCAGTGCAAAAATCCAGAGCCTGAGCCCTTGCTGCCCTCCGGTGAACTGCAGAGAAGTCGCTGCTCCAACAGGGGCTGGAAGGTTTAATTTGCTTGAGGGAAAAATTTCCAGCAGAAAAGCTGTCCTGTTACATTTTGATTCTAATGTGAGTTGTGCGTATTGTACACAGAGATCTTTGTCACCAGAACACATTTATTTGTGACTCGGAGCAACCACAGGAGGAAGAACCCACAGCTCCTGTGAGATACGAGGTTTCTGACTTTAACAAAAAGTAGCATACTTCTTACCTTATAACTGCCTTGGTACTCAGCTCTGTCTGGCTTTCACTCCTCCTCACAACCGTTATGGCCACAATGAAATCTCTTGTTGCAAGTTCATATGGCCTTCAGCTGTGTGGCACCAATGTGAGACCTACAGGTCTTACTAAAGGCACCTGGATAACACTCCTAGTGATTTCGAATTTGGAGTCAGCCCCAAAATAACATGACAGTAGGACATGTAGGACAGCAGGTCCCTTCCAAGTTAAACTATTCTGTTGTGTTTTCCTGCCGTTGTGATAACTCCCAAACTTATTTTTCAGCTTAGTTGGGTTGCAGTGACCCAGAACGTTGACATGCACTCTGGATGTCTTATCTCTGGATTTGCTCAAGGCCAGGCTGGATGAGGCCCTGGGCAGCCTGATCTGGTGGGTGGCAACCATCCCATGGCAGGGGTTGGTGCTGGGGGGACTTTCAAGCCATTCTATCATTCTATGTCTCTGTGATTTTTAAGGTTCCTTCCAACCCAACCATTCTATCGTTCTGTGATCTTTAAAGACCCTTCCGCCCCAACCATTCTATGAAGATTCTACTGTTTTCCATATTGGAAGCAATGTATCAAAACCAAAGTGCCACCATGGCTGTCTTGGCATGGCCCAAGGTGCTGCATGCCCTTGTTCAGCTCTGGCAAAGAATTACAGTCAGAAAATGTTTCATGTGCTGCCATGTATGAAACAGGGTGAGAGATGGGAGTCAGGTGGAACGGGACCCTTAGAGGAGTACATGTGTAATGCTATACAGTCATGGAATCATCGAATCATAGAATGGCTTGGGTTGGAAGGGACCCTTAAGCCCATCTGGTTTCAACACCTGCCATGGGCTGGTTAGCACTCATCAGATCAGGTTGCCCAAGGCCCCATTTAACCTGGCACTGAGCACCTCCTCTACCCATACAAGATGTCTAATGCACCGCTTGCACAGTGGGCAATGATGGTATTCAACACTGTGAGCTCTGAGGTTCCCCAGGAAAGTGGTGGAGTCACCATCCCTGGAGGTGTTCCAGAACTGTGGGGATGTGGCACTGAGGGATGTGGTTGGTGGGCTGGGGCTGGACCAGGTGATCTTAGGGGTCTTTTCCAACCTGGATGATTCTGTGACTCGTTTTTCTATCGTTCCTTGTTGTGTGAACAGGGCATTGGGTTTTCAGACACTGCAAGCTGTGAACAGTTCATGGAATAGAATCACAGAATGGTTTGGGTGGGAAGAGATCTTAAAGCCCATCCATTTCCAACCCCCTGCCATTGGTAAGGTTGTGAACCATGAAATCGGTTCAGGGTCATCCAACCTGGCCTTGAGCACCTTCAGGGATGGACATCTATCAGAGGGCTTCCTTCAGCACTGGTAGCGTGCTTCTCGGAAGCACTGAGATGTGGATTTGTTGAAAGGTGCTGGGTTTCTTCACTTCCACAGCAAGGAGGAGGCAGGTTGGTGGAGCAGGGCTGTGAGAATCCCAGCCTGGTTTTTCCTCCAGCTCTGCTTGCCCTGCCCTTTGGATGCTCTTTGAGGTAGCACTGCCACAGGATAAGGTGAGGAAAAAGTGGTCGTCTGCTTAGGAGACATTCCTAATCTTCCAGCCGCCTGCATGCAAAAGCCAGTATATTCTCATGTTATATCCACAGCACTCTCAACTGGTTTTGTTACCAATTGTCTCCATCTGTTTGTATTTGCAGCAGAAATTTTCTCTTGCTCAATTGAATTTGAAACCTTAGAAAATACTACTCTTAAAACATGACTTCCTTCTAATGATTTCATTCCAATTTCATTAGCAGCGATAATACATTTTCTAAACCTTAGTGCAGTTCTCCCCTTGCCTCTTGTTCTGTATTTCTTTAAAGTAATTTACTGTGTGGATGCTGTATGAATATTAGTTGTAATTACCTTTTTTTTTAATGTTTGCTATTTTTAGTGCTGCCTGTATACTTGAAATACCTTTTCCTACACTGTTAAATAACCTCCTCACATTTGTTGTATCCCTCTTGAACTACAATCCAGCAGCTAATCCAGGCTGACTTGTCCTCCATTTCTTGGGATTTTCTAATCATCTGTGAATCTTTAATTTTTGTGTGACGATGCTGTGTCTGTACTGATACCCTCTCTGTGGTGGTGCTGTTTGCTCAGTGTAGGTTGAAGCTCCCTGAACAAAATGTCTGCTTTATCATTATAGCATTTCCTATGTTGGTAAATGGAAGCTGAATAGTAGTGAAATGTTAAAGCTGAAGTTATTTTTGGTGCTGAAATTTTGAAATGAAATGGACAATTGTCTTAAGCTGTGTTTCTTTTTCCTTTGCAGAAAAAGATCATGCTGAACATGTTTTTAGACACGTTGATGGCTGATCCACCTCCTCAGTGCCTTGTGTGGCTGCCTCTCATGCACAGACTTGCCCATGTTGAAAATGGTAAATAGAATATTTTGTTCGAAACCCGTGAGCAGGGCTGTATGCTGTTCAAATACGTTGATATGCTGTCCTTTCTCAGTGAATGCGTTCCCACTGTAACTGTCCAGGCCCAAATGCACTTAGGCTTTAGGATTCTGTTGGAGTGACACATGTTCAGCACTTCTAGGAGGAAAATGGATGATTGCTGGAACCAACAACAACGTCAATTGGTTGTTAGTATTTAAGTTAAGGTTCTAACATTGTTAGTAGTGAAAGACAAAAAAAAAAAAAGAGAAAAATGGCATTTTCTCAATGCTCACATTTATTCTGAAACTTTTACAGTAAATCTTCACTTGAATGATGCCTCAACATATGCTTTCCAGTGTGAACTTCCAAAGATGTTGGTACAGTTCAAATATCTTGAGCAGCGTTTGAGCACGAGTCATAGAATCACAGAATGTCGTGGCCCATGAGGATCATCGAGTGCAGCTCCATCTGGTCACTTCATTCACTCACTACAAATGCTGAGTTCCTCTCACTTCCAGACCTCTTCTAAAATTCCTGTTATTTCCGCTAACAGAATCTGTTTAAGGAGCAATAAGAGATGGAAAAACTGAATGTCATCTTCTGTTTCCTTCACCACACAGTAAAATCCTCTTATCGTTCTTCAACATCTCTGCCCTACCAGGTGTTACCTCTTCTTCAGCTTAGTGTGTTTATAAGCATCTCAGGGTGTAGATTTCTTCCTTTTAGGACATGGATGAAGTCTCTCTTGTCCTTGCCCAGGCAAAGCTTTAAAACTCCAGCAGTCTGTGTGTCTCTAGCAAAGTGTTCAGGATTTATTCCATTCTCTGCTTCCTGATGTCTGTGAAGTGGTTCAGTATTGCTGTGACTTTGATATGCTCTTTTGTGGTGTTTGTTTTATTGTCTTTTCTTGAGCCTCTTGCAAAACATATCTGGCTGTGTTTATAATCTGCATTTGTACAGCACTGAATAAGAGCAGAGCTGCAATGCTCAATGGGCTTTTTCTTGTTTATTGCAGCAGAAGAGATGGTTAATTTCCCAATTGCTCTGTATGTTTACAAACGTTTTCTGACAATTGTGTGTACAATTGAAAAGAAAAAAAGTGATTTATCAAAGACTTTTTGAGGGGGAGTAATGTCATGGAAACAGAGCTGAAAGGGAAAACTTCCTTAGGAGCTGAGAAGGTTGATTTAGTTGAAGTGTTAGGGAGACTCTGGCACTGCCAATCTCATTCCCACACTTATGTAACAGGTTGAAATGGCAGTAGCTACTGTTTGCTCTTTTTCCTTTATCCTCTTATCTTTATAGGCTTTTACTTCAAGTAAAGCACACAGGCTGCAATAAATACAGTAAGGGAACAAGCTGTAAAAAGTTAATATGCATTATAGGTCAAGGTAGAATTTTACAGAGCTCAGGCAAGGGTGAATGTTGAAACATAATGGAATAGTTCAGTTGGAAGGGACTTTCACAGACCATCTGGTCCAATTACAAGGGAAATGGTGGAAAGACCTGGAGGTAATCCAGTAGTCTGAGCTTTTTTCTTGAAAGTACCAAGAAGAAATTATTAGATAGCCGAAACAGCGGTGTCCTGAACAATGCCTTGTGCCATCAGGTTGGAGGAGGAGGTCAGTGCCTTCTGTCGTTGGGTTGGGAGATGGGATCAGTGCCCCTTGCCATCAGGTTGGAGGTTGTCCAGGCTGTGGAGTCTCCATCCTTGGAGACACTCAGAATTGAAACTGGCCGTGATGCAGCAGCAAGCTCCAGCTGGCCCGACTTGAGCAGATGTCCTGAAGTTCCATCCAGTCTCAGCTGCTCCGTGATTCTGTGGTTCTATATGTGTTTACAATGGAAATTCCATTGAATCATTCCCTGAAGTTGTTCATTTAGGAAGCAGCCTTCTCATCTTTCGGCTCCAGATGTTAAGTGATATTTTCCTGATAGAATGGTCTCAGTCCTTAAAGCTTCATCCTTAATTTTGTCTCTTTCCTGCTGCCGTCTTGGTCGTGTCACCTGAAGTTACCTGATCAGTGCTAGTCTTGTTCTGCAGCCTGTTGTTTCTTGCCAGTTTTCTCTGGATTGTGCCTTGTCAGTGCTTCTGTTACCTCATCTTTCCTTCCACACAGATGCTTGTCTCCTTCACAGTTTGTCAGCATTTTCATTAATTACTGTAGCAATCATTGAAAAGTTACTGCGGAGGCATCTGAACACCTTAGCTGACAACTGAAGAAAAATTCCTCCTATTTCTATGGCTGTCTTTTCAGCTCTCTTTCCAGCAAAAGGCACTTAGGCTGTGAACTAAGTTTGTTCTATTGGAGAAACAAGTTTTTTCCTTACCTTTAAATCTTGTCTTCTTTCTCAACACATCAGACAAATGTCTTTGGTTGGTAGTACTGCTCTGGACAAATGGGCCAGCACTTTATTTGGAGAGCCATCAGTTCAGATTGACTGCATTGCTTTTGTGTCAACATTCCAGTCCTTTTAGTTTTGTTCCTGGAGAAATGCAAATGGAAGGGGTCTTCAGGCTGTGTTCTCTTTGCTCTGTAAAAAGGAAAATATCCTCTGAAAAAAGGAAAAGAATATCCGACTCCTGAATTTGGCCTTTGTGCTGTCTTCAGCACTCATTATCATTGGTAGAAATACTTTGCCAGCTCATTTGCTCTTGAGGGTAGGAATGTACAATGGTTCAGAAAAACAAATGTATGAATGGGTAGGGACAGTGCAGTTTGTGTTTAGGAGTTCCCAGTTAAAGAACAATCCATTGCAGTTTTTTGTAGTGTCAGGTCATTCTTTGGTTGGTTTTGGCTGCCTTGGCAAATCAATCTTTAGCTTTCCCAGAAGCTCAGAACCACTGCAGTAATTTCTGAAAGGGATTGAGAATTGCTACTTGCTTTTTCTGAAATGACCCAATTCATGTTTAGCAACTGCTGAGCAGCCTTGCCTGTAGTAAATCTATTCCAAACAAGAAAGGATAGAAACTGACAGTGGAATCCGTTTTCAGCTTTCCTTTGGAAATAAACAGATAAAAACAATAAAAAACTAGAAAATCCAGGAAACTGCAGTGCTTATGCCATTTTTATTCTCCTTTTTTTTTTCTTTCTTTTTTTTTTCTCCACATATTTTGCAAGGAAGAAGGTGATTTCCTGGGAAAATATGCCAGACGTGCCTCTGTGCTTCCCCAGGCTCCTGGGAATTCTCATTTCCATTAAGAAAGCTTTCCATAAGCTTGCAGATGTCCCACAAAACCCCTCAGAAATATCCTAAGGGAGGCAAAGGAGTTCCAGTGGCAACTCCATGCTTTCATTTTGGTCTGATCCTCTCTGAGGGGCATAATGTCACTTACACGTACCGATGATGAACATGCAGAAGCACATTTCAGAAAGAAGTGATATTGCAGGAGGTTTTAAACCCATCACTTCTTTCCTGGATAAAAATTCTATAATACTTTTCAGTCTTTCCTCCTGCTGGTCCCCAAGCTTTCCTGTGCAATGCAGATTTCTACCAAAGGCCATCCTTCACAGCCTGCTGCTTGGCACGTGCCAGACTGACGCAGTCCATCTGAAGCTGCTGATCCCGTGCAAGGAGCCCATCTGATCTGCAGGGTCAGGTGGAAAGCAGATCCAAAGGGAAGGCTTTATTAAAGGGTTTGGCAAAGCTTGAGAACTTTTATCATTCCTCTCATAGCTCACGCTCAGACTTTAATTTCACAGGTTTTTCCCAGTTAGTTTTTGGTAGAGTTTTATAAAACTCAGGAGAGGAAGAAGACAAACCAACCAAGTGAACCCCAACCAACCAACGCCCTCTCTCCTGCCCTTAGATTTTGCCAGTGCCTTGTCTTCTCTTTACAAGTCTTCCCTCCTCTTCCATCCATACTACTCAGGATACATCTGTGCATGCCTGGTAACTTGTCAGAACTTACCTTGGAAGGTGATTCACATTCTGTTTTGATGCTTTGATTCTGTTTTGATTTGATATTTCTAATATAGCATGGGAATTCTTCATTATAATTGCCAGAAATTATGTTTTTAATACTTAGTAGCTCTTTCTACAGGAAAACTGAGTTCCAGCAGAGGAGTGCAGAACCAATTTGGGTGTATTCACAACTTAATTGAGTCAGGAGGTCAAGTTCCTTGTTTAATCGACAGAAACGTTTGGGTTCCTGTTGAAGTGCTGCTTGAGCAGACCTCTCTCCATTGGGCTGAGCTGAGGATGTTAATCTGCTGGAAGACTTCAAGTCTTCTCTTTCCGCTCATCAGAATAGTTTCCATGGAAAAATAAAACACTGGAGTTGGAACCTGGAGCTTGACATATGTGTTATACGCTGGTCATGTTTTTTGGGCTACTTTTGCATGAGCTCAGAGCACTAGGATTTTTGTGGTTAATTAAGCAGATGATTACATTTTTATCTCATAGCTAACATCATCATTGGTAAGTCTTTTGCTTTGGAGTACTAGAATTTAGATGTTCTGGATGTGCACATCAGTATTCCTGGCCTGGGTCCACTAGGACAAAGCACAGTCATGTAGCAATATGTCAGCTTACAGATGTAGCTATTAGTACCAGATGAAAAAGAGTAGTATAAAGACAGATGTTTAAATAAAGGTTTGTATTTATAGTCATGGCAAGTTCTTCAAAGCATTTCTCTTCCAACACTAATTCTGTCTTAGCCAGAGTTTTTGAACAGTGCGTTTTTCCAGGTCTTCTCTGCAACACTCTTACACAAAAATATTGCTTCATCTGCATCCTGCTTTAGCTTTCTACTTTCATTATCTCCTCTTTGATTTCTTTTCTTGTATTTTAAAGTTCTCATATTTTCGTTTTCCTTTAGCTGCTGGTTTTTTTTCACATCTTTGTCGATTACTCCTACGCACTTCTATAAAGGCTCTGTTCTTTTCTCCTACTTATTTCTGTCTGTGTTTTGTTCTTGGTATCCTTCCCATGGAAATACTCTGTCATCTCTATGTAGACAACTTTGCTATGCTTCTCAATTCCAGACCAGTCTCCAGTCTGCATATATCTTACCTGTCTGATGTATCTTTACATTTACAGTAATTTGAAATAATATATCTGAAATGCAGATCCACAAATATTGTAAAACTTTTCCTCATTATTTCATTTTAAGTAATCTAACGTGTGTATTACTACTGTATTTTGGAAGCCTTTATCATATGTCCTAGTGGGAAATACATTGTTCAGACAGAGCAGTGGTTTTGGCATTAGCAGTGAAAGCGTAAGATAAAAGGCGGATGCACAAAGGAGGGCAGCTAATGGAGACTTCAAGGCAGGGATTTGGGGGTTGCAGCTCAAAGACTGATGATGGAATAACATTTCCCATTTGGGTGGGAAACAGTAATGAGGGATTTTGTCAGGAATGGCTTCTTGGTAATGAGGCAGAGGGATTTATGTCCTGTTCTCCAGGAGTTAGAGAAGAAAATATGGACAAATGAGCGTGTCTTTATAATCTGAAAACCTAATCCAATATATTCCAACCATTGTGGTTGGAAAAGACTTCCAAAATAACCAAGCCCAACCCATCCCACCGCGTCCACTGACTGTGATCCTCAGTGCCACATCCCCACAGTTCTGGAACACCTCCAGTTTGGGTGTCCCCACCACCTCCCTGGGCAGCTGTGTCATTGCAGCACCACTCCTACATATATTTTGATATACTGGGGAGTCAGAAAAACAGACCACTGAAAACATACAGGCGTCTCAGGTAAATCACAAGATGGCACAAGATCTTTGAGTAAATTGCAGTAGAAGAGAGCAAATGAGAGATGTCTTTGAGAGAGGAGAGGAAAGAAAAGGAGGAGGAGAATGGTCACATCGCATTTTCACTTGGAAGAATTTAATATGTCCAGATCAGAGAAGAAATGTGAATGAAAAGAGAGATTTGAATACTGACTGGATGATTGCTCGTGGCAGTTTTGTACACTGATGGCCAAAATGGTCTGCTGCTGAGAATTAATTAGAGGAGAAGAATTTTGGAGGCTGGCAAGATAGGAAGAAGAGGACACAGCTGGGAGAGGGTGAGGTGAGTTTTGTGATGTCTCAGAGGGTCTGCTGGCAAGAATCACAGTATCCTTTAGGTTGGAAAAGACATCTGAGACCATCAGGTCCAGTGGAGGAAGGAAGGAGCGGGTTGTCTGTCAAAAAGGACCCAGGAGGAATCTTGAATTTGGAGCACTGACAACCAGGAAAGGGAACAACTGAAGTCTTGGAAGCAGTGAGAAGTAGTAAGAAGCTTAAAACTCCCCCTCCCATACGTGACTGGAAACTTTGAGTAAAGGGACACCTCCTGAGAGGAAGTATCAATAGCAAGAACTTGTTCAGATCACTGAGGCAGGGAAAATAAAGCATAAGCAATGACACCAGTGAATGTTTCAGAGGCAGAATGGAGAGGAAGAATGGGATGGGATGAGGTCCTTGTGGTTCAAGCACAATGTGGAGTCAGGAGTGTCAGTGGTATTAGAAACATCATCAGTGCACCTCTTCGTGACAGCCTCAGCCTGGAACGGATTCGTGTGGACAGAAACATGGAAGGCAGTCTGAACAGGACAGAACTAAGGTCTTCAACACCATATTTTATTGGCACATTGACATAGTCCCAAAAGTTGGAAAAAAAGCATCTGCATCTGACTGTGCTGTAGCACTTGGCGGTAACCAGGTAAGGAAGACCTCACGATCTCTGACAATGACTGTTTCAGTCTTTTTCCTCATCATGTATGCAGTATGCTCAGAACCCTGTCACCACTGTAATTTTGTCTGGTGTTTATTTCATCAGAGTGCTGCTACTGCATTCCTTCAGTCAAGTGCATCTGCTTCAAGTTTTTGATTCTTTGGTTCAGAGCTCCATGTTAAGGCAGTGGCCCCATGTCTGGTCCCAGCAGGAGACAGAAACTCTCCATGGACAAAGGGTTCTTGGAGGTGGATACCAAAAAGCTGTGGGAGCCCATGACATCATCTATTTCCCTTTCCAAAGGCAAACTTTACATACATTCAAAGTTCCCAAGAGATCTGCCCTGCTGCTGCATAAAATGTTCAGTCCAAAGGTTTCAGCGTCGGTGTGGATGAGAAGCTGGGCTGAGATCAGTGTTAAATATTCTTATGGTGAGAAAGTTTTTCCTAGTATTCTAGCATGGATTTTTCGTACTGCAGTTTAAATCCTCAGGTCCCTGGGTTTTGGCCGCTGGCTCTGCAGAATGCATTGGTATTTTTGTAAGTACCTCTTGCGTGTTTGGTGCCTTCTCACAGTCACCTCTTAGCTAAGCTGTCTCCTAGATCTTGTTTGTTGAAACGCGATGCCCCAAGTTGGGCATTTTGTCAGTTTTTCAATATTTTATGAAAACAGTGAGCAATACTTGACCTGGAATAAAGCCTTTTGGAGCCCTGCTTGTTCAATCGTTTTGTTTTGATAATTTTCTGGTCTTTTCCCAATGAAATTCACATCACAGTTACAGTCCTTTCATCTACTGGGTACTTCCTCTGTTAGGCAAATACCACGGCCTGCCATTTTTGGAAGAATTACTGAAGTAACATGGGAAATTGGTGACATTTAATGCCCTCGTTCTGGTTTCAAGGGCAATTAGCCTGGCATGGAAAGACACAAAGTTGAGTTGGGGAATGTTGTTCATGGCTCACGTTCTTCAGGTGCTTAAGCTCCTTTAGTATTTGTTCAAGTACTCTACCAGTTTAAATAACACGAGAAGGCCGTGGTTACATATGTATAATTTCATCTTTTCTTGAGGATCAGAACTAATCACAAATTTTGTGATACCTCTTTTAAATCACTTGCTAATTTTCTCTCATTCTTTCATGTCTGTCTTTGTCTTGGGATACTACATTATTCCTTCAGCTGTCATTGATGATTTGTTCCTGTTTTTACTTCTGTAGGCTTCTTTTTGAATTTGAAGTTATTGAGCTCATCGTTTTAGTCAAGTTGCTTTTTTAACAACAGTCTGCTCCTTCCTCTGCCCAGAGATATTTATACTTGTTTCTTTAGCATTGTTTCTTTAAGGAACTGACAATTCTCTGAACTCACTTTTCCTGTTGTGTCTTCTTGTAGTATGCTTACTGACTCATATGAATTTACTGAAGTCACTGAGATCATGTTCTCCACTTCCTAAGATGTAGAAAGTTATTGTTGCTGTGTTAACTTAAGGTTGCTTGTCATCTTTTTTTATTTTTTTCCAACCAGTTCTTTTCTTATATTTGAAATAAATGTAGAACTTGCTTTTCATTGCTTTCTCTGCCTTTTGAATAAGGATATTCAAAAGGTAGCAGTTCCTCTACAGGAGCTTCCATTTCCACTGGGCATTCGTATCACTGAAGCTGACTGTCTTGTACACATCATTTTCTTTACGTGGTGTTTCCATGTAGCAGTAAGAGTGTCATCCACCTGAGTCTTGGCTTGTGATATTGCTGTCCAGGTTAATGCTCAAGTGCTCTTCCCTGTAGTTATTACCTTGATGTTTTCAACAACTTGGGCAAACCCATCCTCAATTTGGGTAGCATTTCTGCACCGTCTAGCTGGGGAAACTCCTGGTCTTTGGGAAGTGTCGTCTAGCAAGAGGCTTTAGAGCAGAATACAGTGCTCTGAATTTGAGTGAGAAGCTCTTGGCTCACTCAGGTCCCTTAGGCAGAAGTCAACCTTTGTGAACCTTTTTTAGGGGTCTTTTTCAATATTCATGATTCTATCATTCTATCTGGGGACATGGTGGGAATGGGTTGGGGTTGGACTTGATGACCTTTGTCTTTTCCAGCTTTAATGATTCTATGATTGTATGAATATGACGCTATTGCTTTCCCTGTCCACTCATGTTCTCTCTGTTGTTGGATTTGCATTGAGCTTTCTGGTTCTGAGGAAATCCAAAGGGGGAAAAGGCTAGAGAAGAAATATTGAACTTGTTGGATGGTGCTGATATGTTATCAACTCAGATATGTCGTTATTCTTCCAAAATAATCTCTTCTGGGCTCAGAAGCCATGGCGTGGATGCAGTAATAATTTCTTTCAGTGATCGAGAACCTGGGTTGTGGTTTGTTTGGTTTTTCTTGGAAGCTTTCACAAAATGTAATGATTGCAGTTTTCTTAAGGTTTGCTTATTTTCATTTTTTCTGTTTCCCTCCACATCTTCGCCAAGTCTTCCATCCTGTGGAGTGTTCCTATTGCCGCTGTGAGAGCATGATGGGCTTCCGGTACCGGTGCCAACAGTGCCACAACTACCAGCTCTGCCAAAACTGCTTTTGGCGTGGCCATGCCAGCGGGCCTCACAGCAACCAGCACCAGATGAAGGAGCATTCCTCTTGGGTAACTTGCCTTTCTTTGTCTTGTAGACACAGCCCCTTCTGTACTGATTTATTCTGAACGCTGAAGTTGTTTTTATAACAGAACTGCACAGTAGGACTGTTAAAGGTTTTCAAATAGTCCAAGTGTGCAAATAGGTCAATCGCATTATTTTTGTTATAAATGATGATATTCTTTTATCAGTTGTTGTCATTCCATTCACCAGTGTTTAAAGCACGCAATGCAGCCCTTTTCAAATCCCTAACACATTGTTTTCTTCCCCTCTTCACCACAGTTCTACTTTTTACATATATTATTATTACTATTATTACTTTCCTTCTATTCTAGCTTAACAAGTCTTAGAGTTTGCAATTCTTTTCCTCCTCAGAAAGGTAAACCAGTCTCAGGAAGGACCTGTATCCAAGTGGCATCTTTAAACACAGTATTTCTTTAAAAGAAAAGGACTATATGATAATCACACCTAGCGTAATAATAGACAATTATAGATAGAAAAACTGATTTTCTGGCCAAAAACTTAAGTCTTAATTTTTTACTTTTTCGAAGAGATCAGATGATGATTGGATTATAATTAGCAATTATCTCCGTGAGAAAGTATCATTATGGTATGACTGTTTAATATAGAAAGCTGGGGCTTAGTACCAGGCAGCAGTTAAGCTATCATCTAAAAAGACTTCGATACTTAAAGGCAATTTGCTCAGAAATCTGTAGAAGGAAGGGAATTTTAGCAGCAGAAAATGTTGTTTTATTGTTCAGAAACAAGAGTTAGCTTGTCTTAGTAAGAAATTGCAGCAGCAGCTGAAATGGAAGAAACATTTTTAAAAGACGTTCTTGTGTACATATGCTGTGTTTGTAGGAGGATTAGGTAGAACAAATATAAAGGTATGGGGGGACATGAGCTGAAGGAATAAAAGGTAGCAGGAGTTTGGTACAGTCACAATCCAAATCAAAGCAAGTTTCAATCAGCAGGCTAAAGATTACTTACAGGTAAAACAAAGACAGAAGGTAGAAATCAAGGACAAAGTGGGGAAATTTTCAACTGGTTGGTTCTTAAGCAAAAAGCATTCTGAATATACTAAAAAGTTCAGTGATGCATAAAATGCCACCACAGGCTTAGTAGCCCCCTGTAAAATGAGTACGGAAGGGGGATCTTTTAGAAAAGGAGCAATATCTTCCATTATTTTCTATCTACACATCTATTTATCTATCTGTGTGGGGCCATAGGCTTGGACATGGTAGTGCAGGTGGGGCTTCATAAGGGCAGAGTAGAGGAGCACAGTCCCCTCCCTGCCCCACTCCCACCCCTCTGTGGATGCAGCCCAGGCTGCTGTTGGCATTCCAGGCTGCAAGTGCACACTGTTGGCTCATATCCAGTTTTTCACCCACCAGGACCCCCAAGTCCTTCTCCTCAGGGCTGCTCTCAATGTGTTCTCCCAGTCTGTTCTCAAATATAGGATTGAGTGGCCCAAGTGCAACATCCTGCACTTGGCCTTGTTAGACCTCATCAGGTGCCCCCTTTTCGAGCCTGTCCAGATCCCTCTGGATGGCATCTCCCCTTTCTCTCCTGTCAACTGCACCACTCAGCTTGGTGCCATCAACAAACTCACTTAAAGTACAGTTGATCCCACTGTCCTTGATACTGATAAAGCTGTTGAAGTGCACCAGACCCAAGATGAACAACCCCTGGGGGACTCGTCTCATCACTGCCTCCATCTGGACATAAAGCTGTTAACTACAAGGCTGTGACCTTCCAACCAATTCTTTATCCACCAAAAAGTCCAGCCTTCGAACTCACATCTCTCCAACGTGGAGATAGGATGTGGTGGGGGACCATGCCCAAGGCTTCACACAAGTCCAGGCAGACAACAGCAGTTGTCCTTCCTTTGTCCACCAGTGCCATCACTCCATCACAGAAGGCCACCAGATGGGTCAGGGACAGTCTGCCCTTGGTGAAGCTGTGCTGCCTCTCTGATCACCTCTTCATCTCATGTGTGCTTAACATCTCTTCCAGGAGGATCCACTCCTTGATCTATAGATAATAGTGCTTTGTTAGTTGTAAGCACCCTTCAATGAGTGGCTTTGGAAGGTTTATCAATAAGCCCAGCAAATGTTCTGTGTCAACAGGGATAAAATCTTGACTTCCATTGGGAAGCCATTGCAGTGAGCACTAATCAAATGGAGAATAACAAGCAGACCCTGTTATCTACAAGGTTATGGTTTAGCAATATTGTAAGTAGTTGTTAATAAGATTTTGTTTGCAAAATTGCTTCTCCTATATTTCTAGTTCGTTTAATTTTCCACTTAGACTGCCTTAAAGGAATACAACATGTGGAGCTTGTCCCATTCTGTCCTCAGGGGCTGAGGGGACACAGTGCTAACTGAGGGCACAGCACAGTGCAGGGCTTGTGAGCCCAGCAGGGGAGAAGAAAAAACCTCCCTTCAGAATCTCCACCTTCAGACCTGTGACACTGAAGAGTATGGTTTTGCTGCTTCCTGCCAGAGCTGCACAAAGCCTGAGGCCAGCCATGTGAGTGCTGTGCCTGCAGAAAGAAGGGTTTGATACTATTTACCTGCTCTGCTCAGTCCTTGAACTGGAAAAAAAATGTTCAAATAATCTAAAACGTAGTGTTGTAAGTGGTGTTAGGGAAACAGTGCTGGAGCTGATAGTTGGTTTATCCGTAATTCAGTTGTCCACTTCAGATGGGGAACTTCAGAGGTGTTCAGAGGGCAGGAAACCCAGAACTGTACATCTTAAGTAACCATTCTGAAAAGAAGGGGACCTCTGAGATGTTCAGCAACCAGACACTGAAATGTAGCTATTGAAAAGCCTCCTTGGTTCCTTAAACCATAGATATCCAACCTTTTGGCTTGCTTGGGGCTGCACTGAGTGTAGAGGAATTGCCTTGGGCCCCTGGGAAATGGGTGATGACTGAAAGTATTTGAAATTAAAGGCACACAGGCTGTGTTTCCATTTAAACCTGAAGAGCATAAATTGGACTGTAGGATGTGTGAAACCTGGAGGCTGGGATACCACAGTGGCGTGTCCAACTACCCAGCTGGACATGACTGAGATCCCAGTGTGATGGGAAGTTGCAAATAGTTCATGAAACATAGTTTGCTCCCAGCTATTTACAAATATAGATTGAAGTCAAGAAGGAACAGCTGGGGAAGACGATGGTGAAACTTTGGTGGTGCTAGAGATGGGCAAATGGACAGTGTTACTGGGGGAGTTTGTGGTGGTGTCAGTGGTAGAGGAGAGGGTCGTGGGACTGCAGGGCTTCTGTTTGCTTTTCTAGGAGGTGGAGAGTGCAAGGCTGGGTATTAGGAAGAACTTGTTCCCTGAAAGAGACGTGGTGATCCATTGGCACAGATGCCCTGGGAGGTGGCGGGGTCACCAACCCTGGAGGTGTTCCAGAGCCGTGGGGATGTGGCACTGAGGGGGGGGAGGGTGCCCACAGGGGGCAAGGTGGGGTGGGCTGGGGTTGGACTTGGGGACCTTAGAGGTCTTCTTCAACCTTAATGATTCTGTGATTCAAAGATGCTTAATGATTCTGACATTCAAAGATGTCAAAGAGACAGAAAAGTAGAACTCAGCTCATTGGGAAACAAAATAAAATGCTATTTCTCAGAGAAACCAGCTATCCCTACCAGGTGCACTTGCCAGTGAAGTGCTTCTTCGGCACATTCTGCCTTTTTCACTCTCAGCCACACTGAGAATCATCATTCAAAAGTTGGAATCGATGGAAATTATCTCTCCTCTATCATTTTCATGAAGTGAAGTTGCTCTATTTCTGCATTCTACGCAGCACCGCGTTTGCTTGACAATATAAATGGTGGTGTAGCACGACAGGATGTAATGTCTGTTACCACAGTGGAAAAACACTTTTAAAATAGGCTAACATGCTGCAGAGAGGTCACAGAAAAGGCACTGTGAGATAGATGGTCTGTGCAGAAACCAGAAGATGAACACGATAAAGGGAAAGGAAAGAAATGCACCGAGACTAGAAGCAGAGAACATCTAGAGATAAGTGTATGTGGGAATTTTCAACATGTAGGGTGAATTCAGGAAACCCAGAATTTTTTACTATCGTTGCATGTGATAGCAAAATGAAAGATGATCATTTGAATTTCACTGTGGGTTTGGTAGGAAATAACATAAAGCATGAATTGTGATTTTTCATTAGTTTTCAAAATAATTAAAGGCAGCTGCTCCTCTGTAGAACCCTCTGTGGCGAGAGCGCTGTGCACTTCAGCCATAAGAATCTGTACATCCAGCCAAGCAGTTTTGCATTAGTGCTTGGATGGGGCTCAGATCTGTCTGCAGAGCCCAGAGCTGCACACTGAAGAGGCAGGTGGCCCTTCTCAGCTGCCTCCAAAGCCGCTTTGTCCACCACAGGAATCCTCCTGTACTAACAGGAAGAAATTACCATAAGAAATTTCAGTGGGTGTGGTGGTGATGGTTGGCCTTGTTGATCTTGGAGGTCTCTTTCAACCTTAGTGATTCTATGTTTCCGTGGTTTTGTTTCCAAACCAACATTCATCACGAGTTCCAACAGGCAGCCTCCAGTTGTGCCTCTCACAGTTCTCACTTCGCTCCAACTTGAATTGTAAGAGAATGGGAGAAGGTAATAAAACTTCAGTTAAGAACCAGAAGTCCGAATGTATTCTTAGGGGCACCCAACTCGTATTTCTTTTTTAATTTGAAAGGAATTTTTATCTTCTGTTATTTTCCAATTTAGTTGAGTGTTTCACTTAAAATGCGTTGTGATCTGCTACAAGCCACCTAAACTCAGAGGGAACAACATTCTCACACGCACATTCCCTACTCTAAAACCTTCATTGCTTGTTGTCTTTTGCTAAAGCCAAGAGGCCCAGAAATGAAGAAGCTCACTGATTGGTAATTATTAACTGTGTAATCCGTTGTAATTGTCATTAATTGCCAGGTACTCATTCATGTTAACTGTAAGTGTGTGTGTACCCCGATACTGGGTGGCCTTGCCTTCTCTTTAAATCAGTGTGAAGTTGAATTGTGATTTCAGGTTGGATATTAAGAACAATTTCTGCTTTGAAAGAGCAGCGCTGCAGTGGCACAGCTGCCCAGGGTCACCGTCCCTGGAGGTGTTCCAGAGCCATGGGGATGTGGCACTGAGGGACATGGGCATGGTGGGCTGGGTTAACAGTTGTTCTTGATCTTACATGTCTTTTCCAGCTTTATTGATTCTATGATTAAAAGTGCATTCAGAATTGAACCAAATTTCCCACTGGAGCATCTTACAGGGATAGGAACTGAGAGGGACTAGCAATCAGCCACAAGGTTGCAGCATCTGTGTGGGGAGTTGGATCAGAAATACAGCACTTGGTGGGTTACTTCTGAAAAAAGAATTTTTTGGCCTCCAAATCGTAAACTTGAGGAGTGAACAGCATTTTAAGATAGGTGATGGACCTCCTCCTGCATCAGGTCATTATTTCTTCCTCAGAGCAGGTGGGAAATCCCTGCGCTGGTTCTCCGCTCTGACACAAACACTGAGCATTGTATTTCTTGAAGTTACATATTTTTGTTAAACTACTTTCATTTTTCAGTATTGTAACACTAAAAAAGAAAAAAAAAAAAAAAAAAGCAACTAACAAACCACCAGCCCCCCCCAAAAAAAAGCCAACAAAACCCAACTTGCTCATCTGTGCAGTTTCTATACTCATAGATGACCTTTAGAGGTTCCTTCCAACTCAACGATCGTATGATTCTACAACTCCTTGGTGTGGTGTAGCAGAAATGAATGTTTCCGAAAACTCTCTTTTTCGTGTTTCTCTGTTATCTGATTGCACACATTTCCCTGCTCTTTGTAACAGTGGTCTCATTTTGGTCACTTCTTTTCCAAACCAGAAATCGCCTGCGAAGAAGCTGAGCCATGCAATCAGTAAATCACTTGGCTGTGTACCAAGCAGAGAACCACCTCGTCCCGTGTTTCCTGAACAGCCAGAAAAGCCACTTGATCTTGCACATATAGTGTGAGTATCTGTTGTTGTAATCGGGCTTCCACTTAATCAGCAATATAGAATAATCAGTGATATGAATCTAAGGCTGTGTGGTTGTGTGGGGCTTTGGAAAGAGGCCTTGGGTTGGAATTATAAAGTCAAACTGATGGAGTGATTTTGGTAGAATACCATTGTACTGGTGTTCGTTTGAACCCACCTCAAGTCAGTCTGCCTCCCTGATTTGCCAGGGAGAGTAGAAGTTCAGAAAATCCTCAAATTCTGGCACATTCTATTTTTAATAAACTGAGCACCCAAGTAAATCTATTTTAACTTCTCTTTACAAGGGTGGATGGTGATAGGACAAGGGGGAATGGTTATAGACTGAGACAGGGGAGGTTTAGGTTGGATCTTAGGAGGAAGTTTTTCCCCCAGAGAGAGGTGAGGCACTGGAACAGGTTGCCCAAGGAGGCTGTGGATGCCCCATCCCTGCAGGCATTCAAGGCCAGGCTGGATGTGGCTCTGGGCAGCCTGAGCTGCTGGTTGGTGACCTGCACACAGCAGGGGTTGGAACTGGATGAGCACTGTGGGCCTTTGCAACCCAGGCCATTCCATGATTCTATGATTCTATGATTTTAATACCTGTAGGACTTTGGGAAAAGTTGCAGTCTTCTCACGTGGATAAATTTAAGCACGTGGTACAGAGAAGAGGGAGGAAAGAGGAGAAAAGAGATATAATTTATATAAAATGGAGGATTCCTGTGTTCAGGAGTATTCAGCAATTTGCAGTTCTGAGAGTAAGCAGAGTTGATGCTCGTCTGTTTTCCTTTGGGTGTTGTCGTAAATATTAGGTTCTTCTTGAACTGCTGTCTGTTGTCACAATATCCAGCTGGAAAACCAAATGACTCAAATCTGAATGTCTTAGAACTGCTGACAGTTCAACATGAGCATGTGCTGCTGTGACCTTTCCTGGTGCTGGATGATTTTTATGGGCTGTTTATACACTCCTTTCAGTAAGAGAAAGCTGGAGGGTGGCTCGTCGAGGTACCAGGAAGGTGGAGCAGTGAGAATTAGCGTGGTGTGATTTTCTTTTGTATCAAGTATGGAAGATCCATAACTTGATCTGAAAAAGTAGTTGCAGTGCTGAACTCCTTAAAAACGTAGTTTTGAGCTTTACCAATCTGTAATTAGCCATGTGATTGTTTTCTCTTTTTATCACGGAATATTTCCCAACAGTTGTACTTTCTCCAGTCCTATGCACTGAGTGGAGTTGGATGTGGTGCAATGGAATATCATCATTCTGATGTTCGCTGTGTAATTCAACTCATAAATAAAAAAAGAAAAAGTCTGTCATGCTACTGTTCAGTTCCGAGCTCTCCTTAATGAAAGACATATTGGATGTACAAGGACAAGGCTGCTTGTTGTCCCCAGAATTAGACTGCCTACCTCTGTGTTGTGGTTTGGATGCCGTGCAGTTTGTCATTAAGCTTCAAACGTGGATTTTCTGTTGTGAGGTCCTGCTCAGACTCATAGAAAAGGATTCTGTGGGGATAAATTTTCTTGAGTGGTGAATCATCCTGAATCTGTTCACATTTTAAGATTGTCCGTGCTGCTGCCTGGCTGGAGCTCACCAGCATTCACAGTTCAGAGTGTGCAACATATAGTGCTTCTAAGGGAAATAAAAGAATATGCAGTTCCATAAGTGCAGTGCATGAAAGTAATTACAGTAGTGGTTCTGGTTTTTGGGTTTTCTGTATGAGTGATGCCGTGGGAATTTCTTAAAAGGAATAGAAAATAAAAATAGAGGAAAGAGTTTGTAAGCATGAAAAGGGACATATCCAGGGTGAATTCTTTGCTAGCATTCAGGTTACAAAGAGAAATTGCTCAGGGCTACAATGAGTCATTATTTAGGTGCAAGTGATCATGACCTGATTACAGTTCTTGCATGTAAATGAGGTGCACACCAGCATCTAACAGCACTTAGCAGTCTGTCTCACAAAGCTGGAATCAGTGTCAGCCGAGTAAATAATGCGAACATAAAGATATTAATAACTAGGAGCTGTCTAAGAACACTTGGCCAGGTGTCACCCTGCAGGAAAGCTTTGGAAGGGTGGCGAGAAGAAAGCTGCACTGCTCCAGGGAACAAGAAAAGATTGGTAGAAGGAATGCAAACTGTGAGTTGTGCAGTATGGGAGAGGGACTTGAAAAAAAGGATTGCTGAGGGGACAGAGAAATGGGCATACGTTGTTAGTATAGGTAATACAGAACAGAATGAAATTGTCCTGTTGCTGCCTTAAAATAATAAAACTGGTCAGTGCTGATGACAGTTTCCAGAGCAGTTTCCAGACTGTGGTTTGGCTGTGAGCAGTTGTGCAGCGTGCTGTTGGTCCCTTTCGGAGGTAATCCAAAAGGAGCTGGAATTTCACCTTCAGTGTTTTCAGTCCCGACTGAAATAGGTGCAGAATTCCTTAATTTGGAAACTTGCTGCTGGTTGTTGATGTCTTGGAGCAATCAGAAAGTTCCCAGAGTGCAGGAGGAAAATGCCTGTTCTTTCTTTTTCCAAGGAGGGAGAGAGATTGGAATTGCACAGGGCAGTTTCTGACACGTTGAGTTTACCAGCATGACTTTGATGGCAAATAAACTAATGGAGCAGTAAAGAAGCTAATTTGTTGACCAGTAAATAGAAACCTAACTGGTGCCAATCAGCATACACGGGCTTTTGGCAAACTCATGTGGTCAGACTCAGTTTGTATCTTCTTGATCAGATTAGTTGTGATTAGTGAAGTGGTACTGTTGAAGTAATGCACTTAGTATGAGCGCTGCACCATTTGGAAAACAATCATCAACAGATACACAACCAATTGAAAACCAAGTGCTGAGCTAGTTGTCCTTGATGTAACTGGAGAGTTGGGCAGAAAAAAAACAGATGAGGTTTAACAAAAGCAAGTGTAGAGTCTTGCATCTGGGGAGGAATAATTCCATGCAGCAGTACAGGTTGGGGGATGACCTGCTGGAGGGGAGCCCTGCGGAGAGGGACCTGGGTGTCCTGGTGGACGACAGGTTGGCCATGAGCCAGCAGTGTGCCCTTGTGGCCAAAAAGGCCAATGGCTTACTGGGGTGCATTAAAAAGAGCGTGGCCAGCAGGTCGAGGGAGGTGATCCTCCCCCTCTACTCTGCCCTGGTGAGACCTCATCTGGAGCACTGCGTCCAGTTCTGGGCTCCCCAGTACAAAAAAGACAGGGATCTCTTGGAAAGAGTCCAGCGGAGGGCCATAAAGATGGTGAAGGGCCTGGAGCATCTCTGCTATGGGGAAAGGCTGAGCGATCTGGGTCTGTTCAGCCTTGAGAAAAGGAGACTGAGAGGGGACCTGATCCAGGTCTATAAATATCTAAGGTGTGGGGGGCAGAATGGCGAGGCCGGACTGTTTTCAGTGGTGAGTGGAGACAGGACAAGGGGAAACGGCTGGAAACTGCAGCATAGGAAGTTCTGCACAAATGTGCGCAAGAACTTCTTTACAGTGAGGTGGCGGAGCACTGGAACAGGCTGCCCAGGGAGGTGGTGGAGTCTCCCTTTCTGGAGATGTTCAAGACCTGCCTGGATGCCAACCTGTGCGACCTGCTGTAGGGAACCTGCTTTGGCAGGGGGTTGGACTCGATGAGCTCTGGAGGTCCCTTCCAACTCCTACAATTCTGTGATTCTGTGATTCTGTGATTCCTGAATAAGTGCTTGGTTTAAAACAAGGTCCTGCAGACCTGGCCTCTGTGTATTTAATTCATGTTTTAATGGCCAGGAGGAAAAGTATAAAATCACTGCTAGGCAGTGTGGTGAGGGTTGGTGTCTTCTCCCTGGTATCTAGTAGTAGGATGAGAGGTTATGCCCTTAAATTGCAGCAGGGGAGGTTCATGTTGGGCATTAGGAGACATTTCTTCTCATAAAGAGCAGTGCTGCAGAGGCACAGCTGCCCAGGGAGGTGGTGGGGTCACCAAACCTGGAGGTGTTCCAGAACTGTGGGGATGTGGCACTGAGGGACACAGTGGGCAGTGGGCACGGTGGGGTGGGCTGGGGTTGGACTCGGTGGTCTTAGAGGTCTTTCTTCTAATCTGAGTGCTTCTGTGATTCTATGAAATTAGGAAACTATTGGAGGAATGAAGAATATTAAAAGGACAGAATGCTAAGAAAAATGACTCCCGAAGTGGAGGTCATGGCACATAATTGGTTGGATATGCATTTTCAGGGCAATGTTGTAGCCCCAGGGACTAACATGAGTGCAAGGAGATAACGTCAGCCTTGGTGGTGGAGAGGTCCTGGTCAGCAAACTGATGAGAGCACCCACAAACAGACAGATACTGCAGGACCAAGAAGATGGAAAGGTTGAAAAGGTCAGTGAAAAGAATTCAAGGTCTTGGAAGAGATACTAGAAGATGCACAAGCTTGAGTTCAAAGAGCTTGAGTCCAGCAGCTCAAGTGATGTGCTTAATCAATTTAATACATTGATATTGGAATGATTTGATAGTTTTAGAAACGTGTATCCTGGGAAAAGGAAGTATCATCCAGGGAGCTTTAACAGGCAGGCTTATACATAGACTGACCAGGAGATGAAGCTAGACAAATTTAGAATGAAAATAAAAACCAGTTTTTTAATAGTAAGTGTGAGTAGTGGTTAGAGTAGATTAGCAAATTTGAAAGTGGTGGAATATTGGAACTTTATAACTAAGAGGAGAGTATTTTTTTATCAAATAGGAATGCCAGTCTGGTTTTGTTCTGTGCTTGACAGAAGCTCTCTTACTGCAGTATTTCCTTCCACCCTTATGATCTATGGAAAACACATACAGCACTTTCTATGTCGGAAGTTCACAGAATGTACTGAAGAAGCACCAGGGATGTGCTCCATAAGGCAGCGTGGCTGCACTAATTCTGATACAAGCCTTGGTCTTCTTGGCCGCCTGGGTACAGTGCTGGCTCACGTTCAGCTGACCATCTACTGACCAGCACCCCCAGGTCCTTCTCCTCCATGCATTCGTGTTGGTGCTATTGAC